AGCAAGGCAGTGCTTTTCTGTCATTTGTATGCTTCTCTGTGCTCGGGGTTATTTGCAGTCAGATTCTTGAAGGGGGACATATTAAAAGACTTCCTCACGTGGTGTATACGATTCAGTTGTACCAACTGAATCCTTATTTATTGCAAGGAACGTTTCCATTGTGAATATTTCATCAGCTTTCCAAGTACAGAGAGGATTGAGAACACTTAGAAGTATGTGGAACATCCATCATTAATTTTAAAAGGCAAAACAAGCTTTCAAGGAAAAGGAAATGTGAATTCTGTCCACTTATGAAACACAGATTCACAACAGAGAAAAGTATTCTAACTGGCTTCACAAGGAACAGCAAATATTGAATATGTTCATAATAATTGTAAAAGGAAATATTGTGATCTAGCACATAACACGCTAGTATTCTGAGCTAAAAAGTCAGAATTCAGATGCTGGTCTTCTACCACTATACCCTCTTTTTGCTTCATGCTGGACAACAGGGTTGAATTGTGTTAAGCCTAAAGGTATTTAATCTATTTGGATCAGACAAGCCTGATAAAGCTTCAGAGAAAAGCTAGCAGGATTAAGACGTAGGAAATGTACCTTTGGCAACCACCGAATAACCATTATTGTGTCCATTTTGGCCTACAATCCAAGCAGAGACGATACGTAACTAAATAGCCTCTGCCAAGATCATGAGTGGCTAATGCTTACTGTGTAGGCTGAACTGATCAGTTACAGAGTTAAAGCTGTGAAACAAACCATCCGAACAACTTTATTTTCATTTTAAGTTTTTATTTTTATGTTTCCTTTAACTCCACCATTTTGCCATGCGCCTTTTGGAATGATCTGCAGGTTCAGAAATTGTAGAAAAAATAAGCACACATCAATAAATACTGCCATTAAAAGACTGTAATAATTGAGAAGTTGTTCTTGTAGACATTTTTGCAAACAATGTATATTTCATATGCCTTACACAAAATTGATATTGGCATTCATGCGAGTATTACATGTCCATGTAACTGCTCATGGGAAAGTAGTAAAAGCTGTTGAACAGTTTTTGAAACCAATTTAAGTCATTCTGTGCATTCATACTTACAGGAAGTGAAAGCAAAAGCCTTTGCTTTTTGTAAAATCTGGAGCGCTTGCACGTTCCTTACATAGTTGAGAAGGGAGAAAGATTTAATATGCTAGCATGGAATTTCCGTTTCACAGGAATGATCTTTAGCTTCTGTACATAAACACTAACTCAGGTTATATTCAGTAGTTTAGCAGCTGCATGTAGCAATACTCAGGTGTGAGCGTAAAACATGAATTGGATAGAAATGCAAAACCTTCACTTTCTTTCCTTTCACTTGCAAAACAAAAAACTAAAAGGGAGGATGTTAACAAAGTTGTATGTCTGTCCATGTCAGAATAAAAATGTTCATTAATTGGCAATGTATTTTTCTAACTTACTATTCGACATTCTTTTTCTTATTCAGAGGATAAAGGAGTGAACAATAAAGTGCACGTAATGAGGTCAGAAACAGACATTAGAGATAGCCTGTGACTGGAAGAAAAGTCTTAACTAATGTGAACAGTATGAGCTTCTCTCACCTCTGGGATTATGTAAATTACTTTGTTTGTGGTTTGGTCTTCAGGATTTTAGCACAGGATTCTTTTCACGTCTGATTTCATAAACAGGGAAAAACTGCTTCAGTCCCCTTTCTTTATTCCTGATGTGCTTTCAGCTCTATCGCTTGTCTGTTTCTGGCCCTAGTCTGCTGGGATCTTGTTGCAACCTGGGTGTACTTTAATATTAGTTTGTAAGACTGATGATTGTATGTAAAAAGGATAATTTTACAGTGTGATTTTTGCCTTAACAGTTCAAAATAAAGGGTTTTTAAAAAATTGATCTTCAGCACTAGTGATGACAGTGTAACAAATATCTAGATCTAAAAAACAAATTATTCACTGTGATAAGTAAAAGATTTTGCTACATTCTGAAGGTGACACTTTGGCACTGTAATATGTTTAATTTTGTCTGCATCCACATAGGTGACTCTTGGCACTAATAACCCTTCGTCTTTTGTTGTAAGCAGAGTTACAGCTGAGTGTCCACCTTACTGCCCTTTTTCTGAGTGTGTTCATCTTGTTGTGCTCTGCTTTATTATGCAGCTGCATGGAATAAAACAAAGTGAGCAATCTTTTTAGAACCAAATTGCAAACACATGCTCAAATACGCAGTCAATTATGTAATTAGCCCTTACACTTGATAAAATATTATAATAGAGTATGTCAACATTAGTTTTGGATGAGATTGGAAGTGGTTAAATAAGAAAATGAACACATTGCTAAAAGGACAGTTTACACATTTTTTTACCTAAGGCTTAATGTTCAAAACTCTTTTCCAATTAGAATCTACATACTGGCTGAAAACATGTTGTATAGCTTTGCGTATGCAAAAATAATTACATCAGCAGCAGCAGCATATCACCACTGGTTAAAGGCTTCCCCAGCAATGTATACAAAATATCTCTACACAAAACGAGTGTCTCTTCCCTTTGAGAAGGAAAGCACAAACAATAAGTACAGGTTGCTGTGTGACCAAAAAGATGCAAGGAACCTACTCAATTATAATTCTTGAAAATCCATGAAATGAAGCAACTGCTGTCATTTCACACAAGCCTGCAGTTTTGCACACTTTGTGTAAAAAAACATAGTGGTGCCTTGCTTGATGAGGATAATTCATTCCATATAGTATTCAAGAAGGCTTTCACGGCCAGGATCTAATGGTTGTTGTGGGTTTTTCGGGCTCTTTGGCCGTGTTCTGAAGATTGTTCTTCCTAAAGTTTCGCCAGTCTCTGTGGCCGGCATCTTCAGAGGACAACACTCTGTGCTCTGGTCCGGAAAAGAGCCCGGAAAACCCACAACAACCATTTTTATTTTTACTTTGTTTTCACCTATAATGCTTGCACATACTAACACAGCTACCCTTCCTACAAAATTCAAAAAGATCTTGATAGTTTTGAGCATGGTGCTGAGTAGAACTAAATTTAAGAGAGAGAAGTAGGAAGTTCTACACCTGGGGGAGAACCAAATACAGAGTTAAAGGATGACTCAATAATATTATATGCAAGAAGGATAATGAATTGTTGTAGATCATAAGCTGAATATGCAAGGCAGCTTACACCATTAAAGGAAAAGGTTCCCCTTGATAAATTTTCCAGTCGTGTCTGACTCTAGGGGGCAGTGCTCATCCCCATTTCCAAGTCACAGAGCCGGTGTTTGTCCGTAGATAGTTTCTGTGGTCACGTGACCAGCACAACTAGACACGGAAGGCTGTTACCTTCCCACTGAGGTGGTACCTCTTCATCTACTCACATTTTTACATGCTTTCTAACTGCTAGGTTGGCAGGAGCTGGGACAAGTGATGGGAGCTCACTCTGTAGTGTGGATTTGAACTACAGTGGTGCCTCAACTTATGAACATCCCAACTTACGACCATTTCAAGTTATGACCAGCTCCGGACGTAAAATTTTGCTTTGACTTACAGCCGGAGCTTCAAGTTACAATCCAAAAAAGGCAGGGAAAAAAAGGCGGGGAATTCAAATTGCTAACTGTTGGTAGGTGAAGAGGCTGCTTCTGATGGGTATTGCAGTGTGGTTCCCCCCCACCAGCCAGAATGAATTAATTGCATTTCAATGCATTCCTATGGGAAATGGTACTTAGACTTACGACCATTTTGAGTCACAAATGGAGTTCCGGAACCAGTTCGTAAGTCGAGGCACTACTGTACTGATCTTATGACCTTGCAGTCCAGGGGATTTGAGGTTTAACCCGCAGCACCACCACGTCCCACACCATAAAAGATAATATTTAAAAGCTAAAAACAGCATGTATACCACACTAAAAATGATAAACAAAATCGATAGCTAAACCAGATTCAAAACAAGGCACAACGCTCCATTTGTTATGTGCTCTCTGTCTTGTGTATCCTTTCCCATTCTTTGTGTGACTGCAGGGTTCAGCCTGTCCTAAGGACAACCTCAAGCCTATCAGGATTGAGAAAGCACAGCTATCTTAAAGCCTTCCTTGTTTATCAACTTGACTTACGAAATTTGCCTTCTTGAATTGCCAGTCAAAACTGGGATGGTGCAAGACATTTTGCCATCTGAGATGAAGAGCAAGCTGGCAACTCCCATCTGCCTTCCGCAGCATCCAGAAACAGAAGCCAGGTTAGCAGTTAATGCTTCACTAAGGATGACAAAGTTGTCCTCCAAGATACTGAAGAGCAAGAGGCAAGGTGAGAGACACAGATAGGCAGGCTTAGTAGAAGCAGAAGAGTTCTTGTCGTACCTTAGCAACTTGCAGCAACCTCACCATTTTTAATGATAAAGCACCCCAATGATAACCAAAGCTATATTGAACCAAGCAGAACCCATCAAAGTAGCTCTTCGTATTTTTCTTTTTTATGCTTTTATTTGTTCCTTCTAAGGAACTCAAAGAAATTTATAAGCTTATTTACTTTTCTTTCATAACACCTTTGGATAAATGATTGGCTTGCACATGTGAAGTGTCAGTTGAATGACCTTGTGTGTTAAATGATAACAGAGAATTCAGCAAAAGTGAGAAATGGCCCAACCTGCATTCTGACATACACAAACAACTAGGTGGATGTGGATGAGCTGAATGTCGAGCCAATCAGGAAGTAATGGAACAACTGTAAAAAGTAGTTTATGATACATATGTTAAGAGTTCAATCTAGTTCTACTTTTGTTAAAAACCTCTCCTACACTATTTTACATATCAGTCTGTCTAAACAGGGAAAACAGGTTTGCCTGATTTCCTTTCAAGCTTGTTTCCTTATTTGCAGGAAAAAACATATACAAGTTTGCATAGAAAGAAGCTCTACTGGCTTCACTAGGGCTTTCCATCAGATAAGTGTAAGGTTTCAGGCTTAGCATTGCAAGTAAATCCCATTATTGAAATAATTTTTAAAAAATCTAAAACAGATGACTGAGACATGGGTTTTTAATTTTTATTTTACAAAAGCACACTTCTGAAACTTGAGCCAAACTGACCTAGCTCTTCTTTGAATCTTTCGTTTTTGATGACTGGGATTTAGAATGTGTTTTCTTTTCCAAATCTTGCTTTATTTCCAAAGGAAACTCTTTTAAGTGTAAGTTAACACATGGGAGGCAAAATCTTTTTGAGTAGAAAAGGCTACACTCCTGAAAAAGAAGAACAAAAAAAATTAATACCAGCGTAGATCCACGGATTTCAATTACTCTTTTTAAAGTGTGACTTACAGGAATCTAGCCCTTTGTGGATTTGTACAGCTACTCATTAATCTGTGTTTGTATATTTGTGGCCTCACTCCAGAGCAGTACAGTAGTTCTCAACCTTGGGTAGCCCAGCTGTTCTTGGATTGCAACTTCCAGAAACTCTGCCCAGCACAACTGGTGGTGAGGGCTTCTGGGAAGAGCAGTCCAAGAACATCTGGCATACCCAAGGTAGGGAACCACTGACCTGAAGGAAAACACCAACCTATTTTCAATTGGAATTAACTAAGCTGCTTCTTTGATTAAACTGCATTGATAGATTTGTCAAGATGTGCAATATTTGAAAACAGATTTTATACCCACATCACCTTATCACCGAAAACAGTGATATCTATCCACCTCTCCAACTGCCCTTATTTCTTTCTGTCCCGCATCCATGAGGGGAAAAAAGACTTTGTAGGCCAGCACCCGCTCATACAGGTTTGCAAGATTCATTCAATTCCAGTTTCCAAAACGTACTTTCTTGACTCTACCCTGCAGGGCAGGGGTGGGAGTTAACAGTCCAGAAGTAAATTTCCCAACCTCTGATTAGAAACTTAATATCAGATTAAATGGATGGTCTCATCCAGCAGAGTCCTTCATATGTTTACCCTCTTCCACTTTCTCATAAAAACTTATGCAAGGTCTTTATAATTGCTCTGCCTTCAAACTGTTCTGTTGCCACAGGCCAAATTGCAAGTATAGAGTGTGTTTCAGGTGCAGGCCAAAACCAGTCATCATTCTGTTTCCGCAGAACAAATCTAGTAGCTTTAACTCAAGTGGCGTCATTTCAGAAGACTAGAGATGGGCTATGAGTCATGTTTTTGAGCACACCTTTGCCCAGAATATTCTCTGTGTGGGAAACCTGATGAAAGGATTTTCCAGTTGCACAACTTGGGAAATTTTTCTCCTCTTCCATAGCCCCTTCAAGCAGGGACTATTTGGCTTGACAGAACAGGCAGAGATTATTTCAGATAACATCTAGAGAAATCTGTAACACCCAAACAACTCAGATCTTCATCACAAGAGAAGGAAAACAAGGCTTACAGAAGGAAAAAAAGATGTGAACTAGGTTCCCCCCCCCCCAATGCAATGCTTGCATTCCCAGCTCATTCTTTCTATGTTTATTGGATAGAACTTAGGATTTGTGATCATTCATCCACATTGCAGAGTTCTGGCTAGTAGTGCACAGATTTGTGGGGTTTTGGACTACAACTCCCACAATTGCAGCGCCAGCATTCACAAATTTGTACAGTGGTGCCTCGCACAACGAGCGACCCGTAGAGCGATGAATTCGCTCTACGGGGATGTTTTTTCGATCGCTAATGCGATCGCAGAGCGACGGCCCCAAAGGGCGAAAATCGCAGAGCGAAGGTCAGTAAGCGGTTCGCTTACCGACCTTCGCTTTGCGACCCGCCGATCAGCTGTTCTGCGGCTACAAAATGGCCGCCGGAAGCCCCAAAATGGCCGCGCGCAGCGTTTTCGCCCCCTCGTTAAGCGAGGGGAGGGCGCGAAAATGGCTGCCGGCCATAGGAAAGCATCGCTGAACGGTGAGTATTCGGCCCAATTGGAACACATTAAACCATGTTTAATGCGTTACAATGGCTTTTCCGGCCCCGTTCAACGATGCTTTCACATAGCAAGGGTTAATCCGGAACGGATTAACCTCGCTGTGCGAGGCACCACTGTACATGTTTAATTCAGGCCTTGGATCCTGTGCTTTGTTGCAGTATTTGTACATAATAGGCTCCCAAAGAGTAGCTTACCTGATGCTAATAATTGCTACATGAACACTTGCTCCAGTAGTTGTCAAGTTTTTATAGTGGCATGGTCACAAAAAAATTCCAACAGCTGAAGAGAGCAGGTTAATTGTGAAAGGACAAATTCAGTACTGCTGGCTTCTTGTCATATGGGGTGCTCACACACCAAGAACCCAGTTCGTGTGTCAAATTAAGCCTGTACAGATGGCCTGCACCTCCACACAGTCCTCTACCGGAAGCTTCATTCTTCCTTTTCATATGAGAAGGAAAACAAGAGAGGATTCAGCAAAGGTTCCTGTTACATGTGACCCAGGAACTGAGATAAAGTCCTTCCAAACTAACCAGAATTTATAGTCTTCAAACATTAATTCAAAGCTAGCTCTTGATTCTGGTTTATTTGGAAAAGGGAATGGAAAGTAAATTTTAGGAAAAATGAATAGATGATGTGTTGAGGCAATGATAGGATGATGGTGAGGCAGATCACAGATTTGCAGATTAATGAAAAGCTGTGTTGAAGTGTTGCAGATAGGACTATTGGAATTCAAGGACTCCCAGTCCCGTAAGACAGCAGGAACTCTCCAGGCCATATTATGTGAACAGGAGCCCTCAAATTGGCAGGAGGTAGAATAGACACCTCACCTCCATGCCATTCAAGCATTGCTGCTGCAAACCACTAGAAAAAAAATGCCCTGTTGCACCACAGGAGGTTGTGAGGATTCCTTGGCATTTCCACATGAGGGAACAAGTTCCAGCAGAGGCTGCTTTCCATAAATTCTATATGGAGGCAGCCTCTGTCGGAACTAATTCCCCCACGCAAGTCTCAGGGAATCCTCACAACCTCCATGGTGCTTTTCTAGTGGTTCAAAGAAGCAGCACAGGAACGGCATAGAGGTGAGGGTGCTGCTCTACCTCCTGTCAGTTTGAGGGTTCCTGGTCCCATCTTTCATCCTGGAAGGTTCTGCTAAATTATGGGACTGGGAATCCTTGAATTCTGAAAAACCCATCCCTAGTGGGGAGTCCTGACTTGTCATCCTGGTCAAATGAATGGAAAAGAAGGTGGGCTGTGTGCACATCCTGGTTTAGGAGGAGGTCAGGATTTGGGAATTCCAAAAACATGCAGAGGCCGCCTGGATCCAGGGCCTGAAAAGCTTCTGTGCTGGTGCTTGTTGAACACCCAGTGAAGCCAAGTGGCCAAGGGTTTGTTCTTACACATATTACAAATGCCTGGCCCTATTTTTAAAAATGCCACAAGCCCGCTAGTACTATAGAATTATGTTTTGTAGAAGTAAAGGTAGCAATAAAACAAGGACAGAAGAAAGGTTACTCTCTAGCCGAACTTGATTTTCTTCTCACTAGGTCACTGCCCATGAAACCAACAACAAGGATATAAATGCAGCAAGCATCACATGCTACTACTTACTGTGCCAACACATACACACTTGCGACACAAATTACACCGAGATCCAAGAATGAGGAATTTGTCCTTGTCAGAGGTGAATGGATCCTTCATGACATAGCTTTCTTCCAGAAGGCTGGGCAAGGAGAATTCCATACTTTAAAGGTACAGCACAGACAAGCTGAAACAACCATTCCTGAGCAATTTCATCCCCACATCTAATCACCCTTACATCAACACCTGCTCTTCTATTAAAAAGCAAAGGGCTCATGTGCCTTCTCTCCCAGTCCTGAAGTGACCCTGTCAGAGTTGTCCCCTTCATGCCCTTCAGCTACCCAGTTGCAGGTGAAGGCCAGGAGACGTAAAATGGAAGCGAACAACTGAGGGGCAGAAGAATGGGACAGACCTGCCAAATCTCCCCAGCTTGATCCTTGGCTTTGTTTGTGCCTCCACGGGGCTCAGAAGACAGCAGTTGAGAAGCTTAGCCGGGATGGTGGCTGATTGAGAGCCGCAGATATATAGAAATGACACTGGAGGTCATATGGGTTTATTTATTACTTACATGTATATCCTGCCTTTAAGTGCACTATGAGGGCAGCTCACCACAGATTATTAGAAATACCTAATATATTACAATCAACTATTAACAATAAATCTATAAAAGCAACATGTGGAGGACATTTCTCTATGGAAGTTAACATGCTAAAATAAATGAATGCATAAATGGTGACTGAATGTCTGGGAAAGGGGGGTAAATTTCTTTGTCAGGTAGCAAGCAAGTATCTTTAGTAAAAATATTCCAAAGATGGACCTCCACCACTAAAAAGGCTTTTTTACTGAAATACACAGGAAAAGTTCTTCTGAAATCAAACAGTTTTTACCCTGGCAGCTGTTGCACACACACATTAACTTTGGAATAGGCCCCACAGGCTTCCTTCCATGTATATATGCCAAGGATCAAGCCACATAAGAAGTTTCTCCCCTCTGGTGTAAAAGCAAGGCATGTCTCTAGTTTTACTTTACTAAAGTAGCATGTCTTAGCTGTAACATGTATGGTCACGACTGCCTTGAACCAATGCACCACCAATTCAACTTGATCCATCATAACTTTGCAATGTTCCTCTGTTGCAGAAGCTATTGTTTTGTGACTTTTCAGATTTAACCTGATATTCCAAATGTATATTCTTTGCCCTAAAAAAACAGCAGTTCATGCCCTTTCCTTTGGCAGACACCAAATTCTGAATGATTACAGTAATCAAGAGATTCTCTTTCGCTGAAACTAATGATACTCAGACACAGGTGGCAAATAGCTAAGGGTCACTGTGAGGTAAAGGCAAGGTTGTATTCAGCCACTCAGACGTATGATGAATGTCCTCCCTTTAGGATAGCAAAATATCATTAGGCATCAAATTCGTACAAAAGTTCATCCAATATATGCTTGTAGTAAATCATCATCATCATAATCCTAGAACTGCAGAGCTGGAAGGGACCCTATGGATTACTGAGTCCAGCCTCTGTCAAGAAGGCCCAGTGGGGAACTGAACTCCCAGATGGCTAAAACACGGAGCTATCCAGCACAGCCCCCAATTTGCAATTTCTCATGCATCTGTATGGTTTAAACTATAAATCATGATAACTGACTTTATTATTCCCTGGGGGACATGGAAAGAGCCTCTGCAAAGGATATGAAAACAGTAGGGTGCCCCCTGGGCAGTTGGCTGATCCTTCCACACTAGAAGTACCAAGGTAAGGTAAGGAAGAGTAAGAAAACCATTCCGTGTTCCCCAGGTAACCCAGGAAACTGGAGTAGGCTTCTAAGATATTACTGCAAGACATAATATAGACTGCAAGGGGAAATGGGATGGAAAGCATACTTACGCAACCGAGTAGGGGTTTGGAGGTTTCTGACCATAGTAGCTGTATGGGGCTTTTAATCCACACAGCTCACATTCAAAAGTACCTCGATGCTGAGTTTTCTTGCTGGGCTCCATCTAAGGATCTGCAGCTAGAACACAAATTGGTGTAGAATTTGTCAGGCATGTAAAAACAGGCACTTGGCTGATGCTATACTGGCACAAACTGGCCTGCATAAGCTACCTTCAAAATTGAAGGTTAACTTACATTAACATAAAATAAACATCAAGGGCTGAGAAAGATCAATGCAAAAGGATTGTTGGCTGCAGAATCAAGTACAGTAACAACAAGGTGAGTGTACATCTTTTCTCTAGTACTCTTTCTTTATAGGGCAAGACTATATGCCTGTTATGCTACATGGCAGCTCTTTATCAGTTAATTGGTCTACATATTAAGGCAGTATAAATACATATACTCTGCACGAACCAGCCTAAACTAAAGCTTGCATTTACTTCAGACAGATACTTCTTGGCCACACCTTACGTTTAATCTTACCAAATTAAAGTCATATTGGAATTTGAAAGATTACTCCCCTCCCACTGGGCGTTCTCTCATAATTACTTTGGTATTAAGGTCAGCCAATTAGGATATTTACAGCAATATTTTTCTTGATCAAGCAGCTCCCAGATGTACCAACATAAAGCCTCAAGTAAGACATCATGCCAAACAATCTAGTGATTTGACTACTATGGGATGTACAAACAATGGGTTTGTACAAAGTCTGTGCTGGAGTTTATTGCAACCTCACATGCTGCCTTCTAGCTTGTTTGGCTGGGAGGGACCTTTAACTGTCTATCTGTCCAGCATTAACCAATACTGTAGAGTTCCATCCTGGCACAGAATTCAAAGAGAGCCCCACCCCTCTGCTGAGAGTTCTTTTTCCTCAGAGAGTCTGTTACTGTTAGTCGATGATGGTTGGTAGAAAAATGCCTGCTGAAGTATACAGTGGACCCTCTACTTAAGGAATTAATCCGTATTGGAATGGTGGCTGCAAGTCGAAAAGTCTGTAGGTCTAATCTCCATTGACCTACAATGCATTGAAAACCGATTAATCCCATAACCAGCAGTTTTTATTCTATTTTTGTTCCATTTTGGGTTTTTTCTGGTCTGTAAGTCGATTCTCTGGCTGCAAGTCGAATCTAAATTTTGCAGCCAGAGAAGTCTGTAACTCGAAAAGTCTGTAAGTCGAGCCGTCTGTAAGTCGAGGGTCCACTGTACTGAAGCAGATTTGTTAAAAAGCAGTCCTGGTGTTAATTAGTTTACTATTGATATATTCACAGTTGTAAATGGAATACTGTATTTTGATTCTTTACTGTATATTACTGATGTCTCAGAGTGAGTCACAGAGACTATAAGTGCCAGTTATGAGAAAAAAGGGGGTGGACTGTCTGGGAACTAGTAGCTATTTTACTTTGTGAATGCTTGCACTACTGCTGCACAGCTGAGGAAATTTTAACAACATTTCAAAACTCTGCAACAATCTGAACTGAAAGAATGGAGAAGTTACTTTTTGGACTATACTGTAGTTGGAGATTCTTAGTCTGGTAGCCAAACATAGCTCTGAGCTATGGTTAACAGTCATTTCCCCACTTACAGCCAGTCTGACTGATGCAAAACTGAATGACATGAGAAGGCAGATAAGAAAAGCAATTAAGGAGCTCTAAAACATGGCTTGTCTGCTAGATGTTAAAAAAAACCAAATCACAGTTTGAGTTCTAAATTATCTTCCACATAAAAAAATGATGTGGCACTATGTCTTAATCAGAAGTAACTGGTGCTCAATTTTCTTGGTGGGCAGAGCCAAAGCTGGCAGCCTGATACTGCTTATCTCTTCCCCCACTCCACCTCACTTACTCTATCTTACAGACAGACAGACAGACAGACAGACAGACGGACAGACACACACACACAGAGCGCTAATAGAAGGAAACAAAGTTGAACATACCATTCTGGAATAGTAATAATAAAAAGGACCCGTTTACCTTTAGGTAAAGGTAAAGGTTCCCCTTGCCATATAGTCCAGTTGTGTCTGACTCTAGTGTGAGGTGCTCATCCCCGTCTCCAAGCCGTAGAGCCAGTGTTTGTCCGTAGACAGTTTCCGTAGTCACGGGGCCAGCGCAACTAGACACGGAACACTGGTACCTTCCCACCAAGGTGGTACCTATTTATCTACTCACAATTACATGTTTTTGAACTGCTAGGTTGGCAGGAGCTGGAACAAGCAACAGGAGCTCACTCGGCCGTGTGGATTCAATCTTATGATGGCTGGTCTTCTGACATTGCAGCACAGAGGCTTCTGCGGTTAAACCCGCAGCATCACCACATCCCAGAAATATTTGGCATGCCTTTACCTTTAAAACATCCCAAATATTTTACATGATGGGCATGTCCACATTTAAAAGGTGTGGCTCTGCCATCATTTCATGTATTGAAGTTACATGAATGGCCAGAATGCTATCAGTCGTCTCAACAGACACCAGATTAATAGGATGTGCATAAGTGCTGTCTTGCTACTAAATAATTGGTTTACTCTAGCTGGGACTACCAGCTGAATTTAACCTATAAAATCTAAGCAGATGACAGGTGCTGTATGGCACATACAACTGGAACGTGAGAAGTATGAATCAAGGAAAACTAGAAATATAAAGCAAGAAACAGAATGTTTAAATACAGTATTGCAGCATTTGGTATGATTGAACTTAGGCTGCCTGGAATGAGGCATTTTAGTCAGTCAGTTACAAAAGGTTTTACTCTGGAAACTCAAAAGAAATGACATGGCTGTTATACTGAGGCAAGATTTTAGGAGATATAATGCAGGGTCTGACTGCATAATATCAATAAGACTTTTTGGAAGACCTATCAACATAACCATCAATCACTCTGTGCTATTACAGATGCTGAAAAAGAAACTGAAAGCTTTTATTCAAGTGTCCAGGAGGAAACTGATTACACACACACACACACAAAGAATGTTCTGGTAATCATGGGTGACTGAAACACAAAAGCGAGAAACAAAAGTGAACCAAAGGTTGTCAGAGAGTTTGGCCTCAGGATCAGCAATGAAGCAAGATAATGACTTACAACATTCTGTCAAGCCAGTAATCTGTTTATTGAAAATACATGCTTCAGATAACACAACAGACAGCTGCACACATGGACATCACCACATGGCCAATATAGAAATAAAATAGACTACATTAATTGGACATAGGAGATTGGAAAGCTGTATTATTTCTCTGTCAGAACAAGATCAGGAAGACTGTGGTACTGACCATGAATTGATAATATCAAAAATTAGAGTAAAGATGAAGAACACTAAAAAAATTGTCTTGCCAACATATAACTTAAATAAAATTTCTGATCAATTTGGAGAGCATATAAAGAATAGGTTTGCATTATTAAACTCAATTGACCATGAACCAGAACAACTGTGGCTTGAAACCAGGGATATTATCAGGGAAGAATGCCAGAACAACACACACCGGTATTCCTGCAGTCAAAAATAAAATAAAAAATAAAAGCCTAAATGGATGAGGGAGGAAAGAATTAAAATTGTTAATGGTAGTGTCAAGCAAATGTAAAAGATGACAGAAACGGGGTCATAATAGAGAATGAAACTTTCCAGATACCATCATGCAAAGACAAAGATCAGTGCTAAGATGCTGAAGAACTATCCAGAAGAGATGCAAGGACGACAAATTCCTTTCAAGAAGAATCATGTGATGAAGAAAACTTTAGCTTTAGAAAGTGAAAGCTGCTCTCAAAGTACTGTACTTGGAAGAAATAGAAAGAGTAGATGAAGATGCCAATAGAAGCAGTCAAAGCTACAGAAAGAGAATCTGTCAAACTATTAATAAAAATATGCCAACAATTATGGAAAACTAAACAATGGCCCCGAGACTAGAAATGTTTGATATACAAAGAACATGCTTTCAGGCGATGATGATGCCATTTGTGTGTGTGTGTGTGTGTGTGCAAGGCAGCAGGTTAGGCAAGACTATGTTAAAGCATAACTAATAGAGTTCAGAAGGAAAGGGGGGGGGGTGGACTATTGTGCCAGCCAGCAGTGAATGAAGGGAAAGGCCCTTGGTGTGAATTAGGAGGTAAAATGTGCCGCCTCTTTCATTGTGCAGTCCATGAGCTGCGAATAAAACCTGGGGGCCCAAATGCAGGTGCACTGTACCCTAATTCTTTATTTCTTAAAATATTCTGGCCATAAGGGAGCTTATTTGATTGGTGTTTTTTTTTTAAAAGATTTCCATTTTTGTAGGAAAATCAATAGGGGTGTGGTTTGTGTGGTCCTTGGACCTCCAAAACATGCCTTCCCTTGATCATGGACTTCTGGGATAGTTAAATATTTATATTAATTTATTCACTTAGGCACATTAGCATACTCTGAAAAAAACATTTAGGAAATTCTGAGGCTAACAGGGAACACGTGACCTTCACATGAGAGCCTGGAAGTTACCTTTTTTTGAACCACAATTCCCAGAATCCCCCAGCCAGCTTGGTTGCAGGTTCTGAGTACTGCCATCCAAAAGGTAAATGTTCTAAACCCTGTAATATCTGTGGCACAAGATATTACACACTTTTGCTTAAAAGTATAACAGCTGTACAGATATACTGAAGTAAAAGGGCGAGTCCATGACCAGAGCCCACTAACTGCTTATAATCACCTTCTAGTTCAGAGCAAATGTAGTGTTCTGCTTTTCACTGGAAACTGAACAGGTCACTGAACTACGGAGTTTGCACAGAGCAGTTTCGATAAACAGGCACATGGCACTGGGCTGCATTTATGTCCTGGCAAGGGAAGACAGAGCCGTGCACGGTGCAGAAACCCCCACCTCTTGCACATCTATATGCAGCCCAAAACATGAAATTGGATGATGGTTAGAGAATAATCTCTAACTGATGCTTCAATAACTGACCTGATGGCACAGAAATATGCTACCATTTGTGAGCACTGCTTCCCTCTACAGGACAAAATCATATTAAGGCAGCTAAATACTGTAGTAATATAACTAAACATCTACATTACGATTGTGATTTCATCAAGGGGACTAATCAAGAAATTTTGACGCAATTTCCTCTTATGTCCTTACCACTTGATCCAAACTGTAGCAGAGATCATTCTTGCTCGACTGTGTGGAAGGGTAAAAGCCCCTTCTCAGGTGACCAGTTTCTCACTTTACCCAAAATAAACCACCTCATCTTCGTCAAGCAGAAAAACACACAAAACCTCTTATTGTATTAATTAAATACACACATAACGAAATTCGTATGTACGAGATGATTCACAGCACCGAGACTGCAATTCTCTGAATTACTTCTTTGAAAGTACAATTTCTCTGCACTGTCCATAAAGGAGATATGCTTAGCCTGAGAAAGTAGATGTCATCCACGAAAGCTTGGTGTTTTAATTTTTTTAATGGTCCAGTAAAAGGCATCATTGCCTTGCATTTGAGATTAAGTCCCACTAAAATCAATGAGATGCATTTCTGCCTAAACATACATCGAATCAGGTTAAAAATGCGTACCAAATTGCATCACTTTAGCTGCCAGATTCTGGAATAAAACCTCCGCTGCAAGTCACAAAAACGTACCTTCCCGATTTAAATTGCTGTAACTCGGAGTGAAATCCGCCTATAAACACCAACGGCACCCTCTGTTGACGTCGCGCCGCCGCCGCCGCCGCCACTACTACTGAACAACCACTTCCTGTTTCATCGCGACTCACGTGACGATGAAATCTGCAGCGCGGCAATACATTCCCCAGCTTTTTAAAGGCGCGGTAACAGCGTTGCCCGGGTAATCGTGTCCATCGTGCAGCTGCTGTCGTGAAATGTTCCGACAAATTCTAGTTCAGCCGTCGCTTAAAGAAAAGAACAATAGCAATCTGTTTCCTCAGACTCTGGAACGGACTCTTCTAAGAGTCTATATTATAAGGGATCATTCCCAGCTTTCATTTTCAGTTAATACTAAAAGCGGGCGTATACAGTCCATTCTCTCGGAACTCTCGCGTTTAAGGAAGTAATGGCATGTCAAGGAGGGTTGATTCTTTCATTGATTGCTTTTCAGTTTTTTTTAAATGTTTGCTTTTCATTTGTTGGTCATGGACCCTCAGCATCACTTTGCCAGATGCTCGATTACCAAATGGCTTGAAAGAAAGAAAGAAAGAAAATAGTATAGCTTCAGACATTAATTTCATTCTTAAAATGAAATTTTAAGCTCCAATTCCTAGCTCCAATTGCAAGTTAGAATAATATTGATTATTCTATTAGGAGCAAAAGAAGCTCAGCCAGTCGGAAGGCAAAAACGAAGAAAAGCCCAATTCTTTTGGACAAATTAAATTCTGCCATGTTCATGTTAAGTGTCACGATGTTTCATAACGTGCTTAACCAACACAAAACCTTAACATTAGCCCTAAAAGGTAGGTCAGCATTGTTATTTTGTGAATGTGGGGGAGGGGGTGGAGGAAGGGTGAATTCTGTGTTGCAATTAGCATGAAGGAGGCTGACAGTTTTGGATACAGATGTGTTTGTTTATGACTTAACACGCACACACGTTGTTTGATAATGCGGCAATGTGACATGGTGGTTAGAGTGTTGGAGCACAACTCAGGAAATAATGGGTTCAAATACTTGCTTGGCCATTTGACAGACTTGGCCAGTAACCTCAGGCAGGTTACCTTGCAGGATTATCCTGAGGATAAACTGGGGAGAGTGGAGCCATGTATGCCACCTTGAGCTCACTGGAGGAGACTAAATAAACATGCAACAAATAAATATGATAAAACAGTGGATAGATAAGTTTATTCTTACCATTACTATTTAATTGTCCTCTTATGGACACCTTAGGTCTTTTCCTTCTATCGTGTTGCAGTCATGTAGGTAACGTTAAATTTCCAGGTATTTTAGAAAAATGGAGTAATCTTGTATCCTTCATTCCACTATAGGCATACCTGACTTAACTATGTATAGATCTTAATGTCCTCCCCTTATCTTTTCTTTTCTTGCCTGCCTGGGTTGAGATGGTTCTGGTCTACATACATTCATGTACACATGGGCTAGTGCTGTTACTGAGAAAATGACCACCCTCTGCCAATCTGGATAGCCTTAAAAAAAAAAATACTGTTTTCCACTAGACAACCTTGTAATGTATAAATGCTGCCTGCTTCTTTCAGCTAAGGCAAAGTCACATATTATAAAGCCAGATATATACCTTCCCATCCTCATTCAAATTGGACAAGACTGGTACCATTACATAATGATTTAAGTGTCTATTTATGAAATTTCTCTCTTCCACCCAGGTAGCCTCCTGGAAGCAACCCATAGAAGATAGTGCTTGGTGCCCCGTATTCCCACATTGCACTCTTCACCTCTGCAGGTAAGATATGGCTCATAGTGTCTATCTTCTAAACTGAAATCATAGCTTGTTCTTTTAGCTACTACCATGTATCACCTCCAGTATTTAAAATATGAAGATGAAATGTTCCCCATTTCATGGTCATGGTGAAAAAAGTATTCAATTTATTCCACTTGGGAAACCTTATACTCCCGTAAGTATAAAAATTCGTAGAATGTATGCTAGGAGAGTGTAATGGGCCAATGCTAAGCTTGTTATGTCTATTAAACAGGAGCAAGTACTTCAGGAACCCATTAAGTAGGTGAAAAAGGAAAACTTACTTCGTTACATCAGGAAAGTCATTGAGGGATAAAGCAGGAGGCAAGCATCCTAAACTTAGTTACAGACTCCCCTAATATCAGCTTCCATGCATCAGAGGGGTGCTAGTAGCCATTAGGAAAGAGATTTCATCTGTTTCCTCTTTCTAACAGAGAACCATGCCTCTGACTGTAGAGGAGGAGGAGTGAAAGCCAAGGTGTGATAATTTGCATACCAACTAAAAGTTATGTAGAAAAGCCAAGAAGAAAGACAGATAGCAGAGCCCTTGGTCATCCCCTGGTCTTTCAGACCCTGTTGGTTCACGTTACTTGTTGCCCAGGTTGCTGCTTTTAACTTCTAATATTAATAGGTGGTGGTAGCAAGGAGGAGGAAGGACAGGCTCTTCACAGAGGCTCATGTATCACCTTGTTTCATTATCCCTCTATTTTTGAGCAGTTGATCGTTTGTAGCTGATTTATATATCTCCTGTTGAGAAGTCGAGGTGGGGTGAAAGTCCCACATGTGGCATTTGATCTGTGATGGTGCGTTCACACATAACATTTTTTTTACATTATGGTTCCAGTTATTGCTGCCTGTTTCAGACAACCAGACTGCAAACAAGGAATGCATGTCAGCAAGCCCTGCCTGTCCCTTACAATGTACAGGCATCCAAGCAGTTTAAAAGACAGGTGTCTTCATGCAGTCAGGAACTCTGTTGTCCAGGTGCCTCAGTTGTACAATAGTGAGCCTATATGTGTATACTTCTTATGGGTTTAGGGGCTGTTAACATGGTTAGGATGGGGCAAATAGTGTTGCCATACTCCTGCTCACATACACCCACCACATGTTCACTGTGCATGGCTTGATCAATTGCAGAGCTCTCAGGTTGTGCACAACTGATGTACTGTTGCTGCCTTTTGCTTTGGGCCCGACTGACGTAATCTCTCAAAGGGGAAGAAAACAGGACGTGCAAAGGTTTCTGTCCTTGTTTTCACTTCTTTTTCTCCCCCCTCCCACTTTATTTCTCGAATTCTCCCTTGGAATGTGCAACTGCTGGAGGCTGCTACCTTGTGACTAAAGTAGCTCAATGGTGAGCATGCCGAAAAGAATGCATGCCCTATTGCTGGGCCAGAAAGCTGCATGGCCCCTCTTAAAGGGGAATGTTGGATTGTTTAAGTAGAAACACTGGTGAATGACATCATTTTTCTATCCAAACCATGCCACCTGTGATCCATATATGAAATCCATATATTAGGAACTGGCAGGAACAGCAAAGGGGGGGGGAGCAAAGTCAGGAAGTTGTAGAGAGTGGCAATGGGGTGGGGAACTTGCAGTGTGCCCAGGGATACAGTCTTTGAGAATGGACTTACTATAAGTCTCCAGTAACCTTTCCTCACAAGGAAATAACCCTTCTGGCAGCTGCAGGTTACATATATGGCTGCAGAGCCAGAGGTTGGGAGCTCAATACCCCATCTGTGCCTCCTTGACAGGGTCTGGACTCGATGATTCATAGGGCCCCTTCAAGCTCTGCAGTTCTAAGATTATTATTGTCTAAAACAGGTAAAGTGTATGATAAAACAGAGATTGGAAGAGTTTATTCTCAGAGAGCAGCTCCAGAATTCTAATTCTGAGGGCTCTGATCTGAAAAACTAAGATTTTCAGTCTCTGGGTCAAATGCACATATATAGTGTATTGCAACAAGCATTATATAACTAATCAATATTATCTTATATAGATATATCTTACATTTATTTTATTTTTAAAAGAAATCAGCATTAATTCTTTAGTAAGAATTAAGAATAGGAAAATCAGCTCATGATTATCATAATAGCCAAGAATAATAACAAAAACTGGGTTCTGTTGCTGCAGCTCTTCGCTGGTTTAGAGCCGGTTTCCATGTAACTTGCACCAGAACATCTGTTGCTAAATAAGCATAAATTAGCAAGTATTCACATCTTATTTTGACTTGTGAAGGCAAATCTTTAAATATGTTGATGTTCTTGTTCAAACTTGTATTAACTCATAAGTATGTGTGCATTTTGCCAGTGTAACATGATAAACTAATAAATGTAGCTTTTATTTGTGGCTTTGAGCAAAATTTGCCTCTCAGTTATTTAAACATGTTAAGTGCCTTAACACAAGAAAGGTTTATACCATTTACAGACATTCTTCACTATTACTACAAATATTCTTTGCATATGCAGATCACTCAGCTCTAGAAACATAATGGAATTTCTCCTGCCCATCACAACCCAACACATGATAATTACTGTTCAGGCGGCCTTCTTATCATGTTCAGTAACAGGCAAGGTGGGGCTGGGGTCATTGATCACACAGATTTTGTTCCCACCCAAACCCTGGCTTTTTAAGGTATGGCAGAAATGAATATCAAAGAAGACCTACATATAGAGTTGGGGTTCCAGGCTTTAAATTGCCTGGAAGTCTATAGGTATACAGCTGTGAGCATGAAAGCCTCCCTCCCTTCTGCAAATGCACGTTATACACAAGTAGGAAGGTGTATTTCACAGACTCTTGCTCTTAGAAAGAAAGGAGGGGGGAGAAATCCTCTTTTGGCAAAATATTTTTTTTCTTCTTTGAGAAATCTCAGGTGAATTATCATGCCATTCTTTGTAAGTTCCACAGTCATTTCTTTCTGGAAGGAATGCCAAGTTGTGCAGAATTACAACAACTCCTGTGCGGAATGGCATATTTCCTGTATATAACTCACTAGAAAAGACATCAAGCTGTGCAGGATTTGGTAGCTTCCTATCAAGAACCACAGGAGGGGAATGAAAAGGGAGGGAGGAGACTAGGGTCTCATTTTTGCAGGAAGCTGGGAAATCCTGCTGGTGTAGGGAAATGTCTTAACATGGCAAGAGTTTGAGAATCAACATGAATTAGTCAAGGCCTTGTCATATCCCTATACACAAGCACCACAGGAGACCTACTAGGAGGGACTACACAGCAAATAGAATTTATGTTTACACACATCAACTTTTCAGCTAGTGGGACAGTCCCTTTAACAGTACAGTTCGGAGTCCCTCCTGCTTCAGATCCTTCTGGCCATTAAGATTTCTTCGACTGTATGTGTGCCAAATTTCAGGTTTCCACATTGTATGAGAAGTACCTTAACAACTGGAGCACATCCCCTGCTCCATACCAAGGAATTGTGGTATTGAGGGCCAGTTGATCTACCCAGCCCAGCAGCCACACACAACAGCAGTAAGCAGAAATGACAAGGGATCCTCCTGGGCACATGGTAATTGTTACAGACAGCTATGACATCACCTGCCTGTCACTGCTGAAGCTGTGTGTCATCTACCAATGGCGTGACGGAGGGTGGGATTAAGGGGTGGAGCTGTTGTATATAAGGGGAGTGAATGGTGTGAGAGAGTTAGGGCTTTGAGATAGGATTTGGTGATAGGGTCAGATAGGGCTTCAGAGCTAGGGACGGTTAGGGTTTGGAGATAGATCTGTGCTATATAGTGAGAGTCTGTGAGTGTGTGTGTGTGACAGTTATATTATTAAAGTGATTATAGTATTAGTTATCTACAAGTGATTTACCATTCCTTTTGTTGTAATCAATAAATCTTATTTTTATTTTGAAATCATACTTTGGCCTGAAGCTTCATTTGAGGGAATGGTTGGTGGCAGTGGTACTGAAGAGTGATTGTGTGTGACGTAATAGCCGCTTTGTGAGGTATAAGGAGGCTGTTACAGTAATACACACATGTAGAGCACCTGCATATAAATGAGGATCCTGATCACAACTTAGAAGCATAAAGTTTTCGGGCAACAAAATATTGACTGATTTGTAGAAACGGGAAACTATTTTGTTTGGACTACAATTCCCATACATTCCTAGACAGTGGCCATGCTGACTGGAGCAATCTAGGAGTTGTTATCCTATGTCCTGTACCAAAAAAAACCCCTTCCCTAAATCCCTGGCCCACTTGTGAGAAGTTCTATGCAGATATCTTGGCATGTTTGATGGGCTTTTTCCCATTTATGCTGGATAGGTAGAAAGCGGCATGGCCACAGGACACATCAATGGAGGTGGGACAGTCACCATGTATGTGCAAACATTTAAATGAAGTACATGAGACAGTTGTCTTGCAGACAGGTTGGCTGAAGAAGCTGAAGCTATGAAAGGTAGAAATATATACAGTATTATTATTGAATGTCATTGGTCTTAAGCAATAATACAGTACTTTCCTTACAAAGGTATATAACAAAATATGACCCCTGAATATGTACAGTGATTGTATATAAATAGCAGAACAAACACTTTGTAAAGATGATAGTGTACATTTATTTACTTTTAAACTTTTGTTTTATTCTGTTCTGGCAAAAATAGGACTTAAAGCAACTTGTCAAGTCACCCTCCCATCTAGAAGGTTAAATGCTGTTGCATATTCAGAAATGGCAAGCTAAGAAATGAATTCAGTGGGGAAAAGGTAGTGGAGAAAAAATACAGGCTTTGAAAAGGTAGGATGTGTATATAAAATGTTTCTTTTCCATCCCTTCCTGCAGTGTTGTTAACATCCATCCTCCGTTTATTCTCGCCATAATTCACATAATAAAAGATGTTAAAATAGTGCAAGGAGGTGAAAGAAAATGGAAATCAATTATACTGTTTCTTCACACAGAATAGCTATGTGAATGCTTGCTGTTAATTAAGTGTAATTATTTCATAATGACATGCTATGCATAAACTAGCAAGTACAAGAGGAGGCAAGGAAAAACAGTCTAAATAGGCATTAGCATCCATTCATCGTTTGGGCAATCCCCGTTTTCTTTACAGATTTCATTTACTTTACTTCCCCCCACTTGATATGATTGCATTCAAAACCAGAGGAGAATCAAAGTACAAGATAAACACTTTTCCGACCATTAATTTTTCTGGCTTTGAGGCCTAGGTGGTGTGTGCTTCTCTGTTTAGGATACCCAAAGAGAACTCTGTTGAAAAATTCTGTATCAGCTGTAGATGCTTTCCTGCAGGTTACAAAAAACCATATCTTCTGGATCTTACGAAACAGAAAATTCACCACTTCTGCTTCATCAGAAGGTTCTTCATAGACAGGTTGCTTCATGTTCTCGTAGGCAGACATAATGACAGCTTGAAACAAATTTATCAAAACACAGATCATCACTATCATGAATGAAGCTAAAAAGAGCCCCCCCAGCACTCTGTTGGATTTAAAGGCAGTGTCCTTGAAAGCTGAAACACAATAAGAGAATACTGTCTGAGCAGAATGGGTCATTGTATTGTAGTTCCATTCATACTGGCCAAATACTAGGTAGCCAAATGCCATGTATACAAAAAAGTACACTGCTACGACTAAAGCCATAGAACAGATGCCAGGAAGAGCTGCTAAAATAGATCGTTGAGCTAGACGTACATCATAGAAGAATCGGGAATACCGAAGAGTTTTCAAAACTATAAGAAATGTCAAAAAACCTAGAGTTATCCGCAGAGTTTTATCGAGATGAGAAACTTTATGAAATGGAATGAATTTACCTGGCTGAAACAAATGCAACTCTATTAGGCTTGGAGCCAGTTTAAATTTGAAGGCAAGCTGTAGCAGAAAAAACAAACACACAGCCTTGATTCCAAAATTAATTAAATTTGAAACTTCTTTCAAGTATTTTAGCTGTTGTCGTTCTACCACAGAAAATTCATCAATGATATAAAAAACAAGCATACAACCCACAGCTATGTAAACAAACTTTTCCCTCTTACTTAGCTCCTTGAAAATTGGAAGTTTGTAGGAATGGATCCACAAGGTTGTGTTAACAGGGCCCAAATGAGAAATTTCAAATACAACTGATATACTGCAAAATAAATCTACATCTGAATTAAAAGTTGTCATCTCAACTATTAGTGCCCAGGTATTTTCATCAAGCCAGTTGCTGCTTTCTAAAACATCAATTCTACTTGTTGAATTGGGCATTTGTTCTTCTGTATAAAAATTAAATGTGTAGCCTCCGGCTCCATATGTGTTTAGTTCTCCATATGTACTGTATTTCCACGGATCAGTGACAAACTGATAAATGAAGCCTGGGAAGTAGCTGAATTTATTAGAAACAGATTTATTCACTGGGTTTGTCCAAGTCCCAAGATGATCTCTTTGTTCTTCTTTGTCAGTACCATACTTGTGAAGGCAGTGGCTTTTACTGATCACAAATTTATTCACAAAACTATGTGGGTAGAAGCATTCTTTTGTAGTATTCTTTGCTCTCACCTGCCGCATTCTGGGCACACCAACAATTTTTGACCATGTCTGCAAAAGATAGGTTGGTTGTTTTTCGTTGTGAATCAAGGGCAGGAAGACATTTCTCAGCCAGGTGTAAATGCCCTCTACTTTATTGACATCTGAGAGTCCTAGAGAGATTTTGTTATGAATCTCTTGATTGTAATAGAAACTAGTGGTATTTTCCATTGAGTAAGCAATGTTTAAAATAAGGATCAAAAAGATGAAGTGAGATATGACATCCTTTATGAAAACAAATGCTTGGTGTTGACTTTTTTGTCTTTTCTTGAAAATTGTAATTTCATCCTCTTCTAAGGGATGATACTGCTTGGTGCCTCTCATTCTAACTAGATCATAGTGCAATTCCCGCATATCATCAGCATCCATCATTGTGTCATTTAGTTTAATCTCTAAGAAGCTTTCTTTGCCTGACCACTGAATCCTTTTACAGTATGTGGGATAAAGTGTCTTTAAGGCTGAAGAAATCCCTATATTTAGGGGTTGTAACAAAAATATGCTCAGCCACAACGAGATGGCAGATGCTGCTAGCCAATCTAATGATGTCTCATAGTCGTAGGGCAGACCGTATAATATGATAAAAAATGATGACAGTGTTGAAATAATCAAAACCAACATCCACAAAATGTATTTATTCCACCAAGATATTTTTATTTGTGGCCTTTTAGGAAACAGCATGATGGGAATATTTTGTGGTCTTGTTTTATGACTTCTGCTCTTCTCCAGATAATAATTTTTAAAATTGCTGTTGCTTTTGGCATCTTGAGGCATGTCCTCTTCTGCAGCGATTATATTTGCATCACCCTCAGAAATTGTGCAGCAACTTATTGCAGTTTGCTCCCATTTCATCTTTTTCTGTTGTTCCAAATTTAGTGCTTCTGAATCTGAAGCACTAAAAATTCTCATATGGAAATGATCCCCTGGGATTTTTGAAGCTGTTTCTATAAGGTACCATTTTTGTAGATATTCCTTCCAGTTTCTGAGACTTCCAGGCATAAAAGCAGAATATTCTTTAGATGGAACCAGTTTTGGATTCTGTGCCGAGGGCTCATTTTGAGAATATTTGAATAAAGCTGCTACTGTAATTTGCAAAGGGAAGGAAATGCAAGCACCTAGAATCCCAAATATAATGGGTCTCAAATAGTGTAGTTGTTTTGAAAATCTTTGTTGATCTTCATCAGTACTGAAGAACATAATGTTAAACAGCAAGATACACAACAGTATTGGTAAACAACATGATAATCGCTGAAGCCTGTTAAAAGAACCAGTGCAGACATGAGCAAAGATAGAAAGCCATAAGTGATTATCTACCAGATCATTGGCAAAGCTTATTAAAAAGAAATACATTTTGTTTAAAGGTGCAGTTGGTTGAGTAAAAACAAATGATCTCTCTATCAGGCTGTCTTCCGTATCAAGAGATAACCATTTTTGGCACATGAACAGCCAACATTGTTTAGTGAATATATTTTCCACTTTCACTCTACTCAAGAACCAGTTAGGGGAAGAACCTGCGTTATTGTGCCAGATCCGAAGGCAATAAACAATCCCCAAGTCATTCTTAGTGGTCAGGAGAAAAGTATTGATGGCTCCACGAGAAAAGGTCAGATATGCAGGGTGTTTTAAGCAGTGTACATCACTGGTAGCTCTTTCACCTACTAGCTGAATAAAAACATCAGCTGTAGTTCCTGCTCTCAGACGACTGCCTGTGAATATGGTAACCAGGTAGCACATTTTGTCAAAGGGGCCATTGTCTGGCAAAACTATGACATGGACTCTGCTTTCCACATCAGCTCTATCTTTCCTCATTGTCCAGATAGCCAAGAAGATGTAGGTTATGAAAATGAAAAGGACCGTCAGGGTTGTCACTGGGTTTTTATAGATCTGGGTTGACTGGATTATTTTTGTCTCTACCAGGTTAGAGTACGGAGTTACTTTGCCAGCTACAAAGGTGATGTCATTTCCGGAAGTTCTTAGCTGGGGGTTTGCAGTCCTTGAAATCCGCCTTTTGCCTGTGCAGATGCAATGTAACTTTTGCCAGCTGATCTGTGGGCCAAGGCTGCAGAACCCTTCTTTCCAATGACTGTCAACTCCATCCAGGTACAGGCAGTCAGCAGTAAAAACCTGAATGCCAATCAGCTGAGTCCTTTCATTCTTTACAAAAAGATCTGCTTTTAAGACAATGGAGATGTTCAACTTTTCTGCAGTGTTGCTTTGGAAAATGGATCTGAGCAATGTCTGAGAAAGACAAAATACATAAGGAGTTTGAAGGGCACATTCGTCGTCATTGAAATTCTTTACCTTTGGTATGGAAGGCTTGTCATGGGAAACACTAAAAGAAGCGATAGCAGGATAGTTGACCTTCAAACCTAGATAAATAAATACCTGGAAAGTAAGCTTCATTTTTGTGACAATCTGGATGAAAATATTTTTGGACTGCCTAAATACTTCAAAACTAAATTGTCCAGTTGCTTCAGAAAGCTTTCTGTCTTGCCCTATTTTAATCTCAAAAATGGCAGACTTCTCATCGTTTATGTTCATGGTTATTTCAGCTGTATCAGGCACAATCTTCACCATGTCACCGTTAGATTTGGTTGCTGTCATCTTGAATCCAGTTACCCCAGTACAAATGTCATTGGTATATGGCAACCAAGGAAAAGGATTCTTGTCAAACTCATACAGAACAGTGGAAACCACAGCATCCCCCGGTAGTTTGTCACCCTCTTCCTGCTTTATTTTGGGGAAAAATAAATTCTTGCTGTCTTTTCTTTTAGAGAAAGCATTGGGAACATCCCACTTCTCATCCTTCCTCAAAATAATGGTCCAATCTTTGACTTCCATAATAGTTTCATTTTCTCCTGGTACTTTTCCGTGTAAAATTAAGTCGACTAAAACCTCGGTGGTAGAAATAGTTGCCTTAATTCCATTTCTGTGGACATTTTTGTGTTCTAACAAAGAAGCTTTCAGTACGTTGGACAACCCTGCAAGAATAGCAGTGCCAAGAACCTCAGTTTCCTTTGATCCTAAGTCTTTGTTCCTATGCTTTTTCAGTTCTTTGCTCACTTCTTTTAGTTTTCTCACAGCAAGTAATTGTGATTTCCTGTTTACTTCTGTGATTTCCTGTGTTATTTGAAAAATACATGAGATCATTTGGTTTGCTTCCATTACTTCTGTTGTAGGGATTTCTATAGATCTATTTAGAAGGATTTCTCGCAGTTCAGACTTCGTGGAATGAAATCTTTGCAAACCTTCTATGTCATTCAAAGTAGAAGCTACCATGTAGACAAAATAGCCTGCACTAAAGTAATCTCCACTTTTGAGAAAAGTTGTTATTGGAGCTGTTCGTCCACTGGATAAACCATTTAACTGATTTAGAATGACATCAGTTTGCTTGCCTTTTAAAACACTATGCACTGTTGTCTGTAAAGATATTTGAGAATAGGCTCCTAATGCATCATATACTTCAACATATACAGTCAAAGCATATTGCTTGGAGGGTTCACCAATGGGTAGAAAAGATGCTGGGATTTTTGGCTGATGACCAAAATACACAATTGTTCCGAAGGTGCTCTTTTCTATGGGATGCTTTCTATTAATGTTCAATGTATCCAGTGCTGCTTTGACTTTATATGTAAGAGGCAAGTGTGTATCTTTAAACCCATGACATTGAATAATGAATTTTGTTAGAAATGCCATTCCTGTGGGAGGGTTAAGAACACAGTTTCCAACCAATGGTGGTGAATTCACAAAAAATAAATAATTATAGACTGATGATTTGTCACCCTGTATACTCACTTTTAAGACAAGAGAGTATGATTGTTCTGGGATATCTACAAAACTGAAAGGATTTATGCATATATAAGAATTAGTTCTCCCAGTTGTAGTTTTAGTGTCCCAATCAAAATGGAGTTCAGTGGAATTTCCAGAGAAAAGTGACCAATGGTAGAGTGGCCTGCTCGATCTTCTGCAATTCAGACATTTCCCAGAAAGACAAAATCTTTCTGTTGGTATTAATGATCTACCACAATTTTCAATGCATGCAACATCCAACACAAGTGGAGAGCTAGGTTGCACATGTACCATTTGTTCAGCCTGAGCTGTTCGGCTTCCTTTTTGAACAATTAAACGAAAATAATAAGTAGCATTTTCCTGAAGTGTTTCAGGTTGCACAGTTTGAATTGGATCACAGGACCGAGACCATTTCAGATCTGCTTGTTCTGGATGACACTTCCCATTTGCACTTAGAGCCATGGACGTGTAATCGGCTTTTTGTTTTGTACAGTACCATGTAAATACGAGTCCTTCAAAAGGCTGGGCTGAATCGAGGTCAGAGGAAGCAGATCCATCCAGAGTCCACCTGTTGGAAAAGCCAACTGTCTGCAGATATCCTCCAGCTATGACAGCCACAAGACTGCCCGCCCCAATCTCGACAAACACTGAATCGGAACCTTCAACCGTCTCCAGAGTATCCACTGTCATTAATTTTACAGTAAAATTAAATAGATATAAACCATAATCTAAGCTAGAACCAGGAACTCTTATCATGGTGTGATTTCTTCTGCCAATGCCAGGAGGGTTGAAAGGGTTTGACCAGTCTGGAGCAGTTTTCACATTTGGGACTTTATAGATTTTCCAGAAAAATATTCTTTGTTTCAAAACTGAACAATTCACCTGGGCATCCGCAAAGAGAGCAAAATGTTTCCTCTTGCTATAATTTAACACAGAGTTAGTAGTACCAGATTTCAAAATTTTAACTTTGTTTATGAAACAGATTCTCTGAAGGCAAACCACTGTGGATTCCATGGTTTTTGAAGCATAAGCATGGACTGTAGCTTTTAAAATAACGTGCGCACGCCCACATCTTGTGCATTTTACTTCTGACACAAAGCCTGTGTACAGGGCAGGATTGAAGGATAAAGCAGAGTGAGGAATAAAATGGGCAGCATTTCTGAATCGATCCCTGTAAGTATAAGTACTGTTTTGAAGAAGGTGTTCTCTCCTTGAATCAAAAAGTTGCAAATTGAAAGTCCATTTGCAGTGTAATAGAGGATGTTGCAGAGGAATAAACCACACAACATAGACCAAACTTTGTAAGAAAGATGGCCCACTGTTGAAAATGTGGATTTCTATATCTTTCTCTGGAAGGGACCTCAGTAGGCCTCCTTTCCTATTAAGATATAAGTGTAGGTTGAACTTATACCACTGTGATTTGAGAAATTCAATGGTGATCAGGTAAGATAAGCTCTGCTGCTGGTAAAAGATGTAGTGAATGCTCGAGAGGTTGCCAGAGGCATTGGTAAGATTTGTTTCCTGGGTGGAATAATAGAGTGCCCATGTATGGCTAAAAAAATAAGTGCCTGCCTTAATTTTCTGTGTGTTGAGAGTAAGGTGAACTGGAGGGTCATTCTTGGATGTCAGACTTAAGGTGGCACTTGTGTAGCTTAGCTCTCCACTCAGGTCCACAGACCTTGCCTCTTCAGTACAAAAGTCCATGTTGGCCACCAGTTTTTTCCTTGAAAGGCGTAGAATGGGGGTAACAGAGTAATTGTTCTGCAGAGCATATGGGTTGTAGAAGGTAGACCAAATCCCTGTGTCTTTGAGAGCCAGCAGTCTATAGGCCATTTTTTGGGAGCCAACAGATGTGAGATTCCAAGAGAGGCTGATAGTCCTGTGAGAGATCCTGAGCCATTTGGAATGGGTACTGAAAAGTAGTAGTAGAGTGGGTTCCACCTGCAAATCTAAGCTAAGGCTTTCCCGAGGCTCTTGTTCAGCATACAAGGAAGAAATAGATAATGCTTGGTGGATGTAATGCACCATCAGGCGATAGGTGATGTAGGAGGCACAACGGTGCTGTAGCTCACCATCATGGCAGTGAGCAGCTGAGGGATAACCACTGGTGGGAAGAAAAAGGACCATGGTTCTCCTTGGACTGCTGTAGAAGTAGTGCCAGCTTGAATTGTTGAGGCATGCACACCAGCCCAGCTGCACTGGCTGCCACTCAGGCATTGAAAGGCTGAGCGACCAAAGGAGGAAGAGATGGACATCTTGGCCAAAGACTTCAGTGCTCAGGTTGCTGTGAAGACATACAGGTAATTTAGAAGAAAGTGATATATCCTGTAGGGTGATGCAGCTGGTGGAGTCCCGGGGCAGATATGTGGTTTGACTTGCCAAATTGGGGCCCAGGATTATCTGGCCTGACCAAGGAATTATATGGTGAATAAAAGTGGCACTCCAGTACCTGCAACAGTAAAAAGATGGCAATTTTGTCTGGAGCATCCCAATCCTTGAAATGAAGCTTGGAGCTCTTAAATACTGCAGCCTGCATCTGTCCCACATACACAAGCTCTGGAGGTTGCCTTTTTGCTGGTAATAGATACGGTTGAGTTGGTTGGTGCAGCTGACAAACAGCGGTGGTAATAGTAAATAAGAGGGCATGGCAGCTGCATACTGGAAATTGCACGCACAGACAGAGAGGGCCAGGGAGAACAATAGGGAGTGCATCCTCCAGATTAGAAAAAAAAATTGTAATTGGAGCAACCATTGTCTTCAACTGCCACAGAGTGAATGTCTGGGCGAATTCTAGAATTCGACACATTGCTCGGGAACCAGTATTCAAGCTGTTCTAAGTTGCTGGGAACATTTTCTTGTCATTCCATGACTGTGCTGATCATTAGAAAACTACTGGCAGCAGTTCTCTAATGATTTGGACTTGAAAATCCATAAATACCAGCCAGTATAACTAATGGTCATGAAATGAGTTGGAATCTAATAATATCTGGATGGCCACAGCTTCCACATATTTCATAGTTTGTTTTCCTGCTGGGGATCCTATCATTTGGATTTGCCTACAGTATTAAACCTAGGATGTTCTGTATGCAAATTATGAGCTTTGCCACTGACCGATGGCCCTTCCTCAAATGTACAATAAAGGATTACTTTTTATGTGTGGATGACTAATAATATATCAGAATTGTATTTTGGATTACATATCAGTCAACAACAATATTTAAAGAACTGTATTTTATATTCTCTAATTCTTTTTACATGTAGATCAGTAAATTGACACATTTCAAATAAGGACCAGATAGTAATATTGTAATGAGATGTGAGCTTAGCTTTAATACTCTTCAGAACATTCTTTTCAAGACTGATTTTGTGCTTGTTACACTGAAAGAATTAAGTGATTTCAGCGGGTCACGCTTACTGAATAGGTTTTGCCTAGCCTACTTCCCTTCTCATGTAGCTACTTCGAAGGAGTAGGTCTTGCCTGTGTTGGAGGGATGCTCATCAGCTCACCTAAGGAATCTCCTAGTTGAGTGTCTACAAAGTGCAAGTATTCATTTATATTGCTGGGGAAAAACTGAAAAAGTCTAAAGAATTCAAAATAAAAAGAGTCAAGAGTCCTCAAAGGAAGAGAGGAATGAGAAAGCAAGGATGTATTATCCTGACAGCCCAACAAACCCAGGATCAGCAAAGCTGCCCCCACTGTTTTCATATCTTCAAGGCTCATATTGGTCTGGTTAGTCACCTGCATGTCCATCAATGTGCTACTGCTCAACTTTTCACTTCTTTTCTTTGGTGAATCTGATGGAGATGATTTTTTTAAGACAAAGGACTGTTATTAAAGTTCTCCTCCAACACATTTCAAATGAATCAATTATTGTCAGTTGCCTTCACTGTCCTATTTTCATATCAGTACTGTACAAAGTAATTGGGAATACCATAGCAAAGATGATCTTCACCTTGGTCTGCAGTGACACATTTTTACACTTGATCTTGTCTAGTTTCTTCATAGTCACCCTTTCCAACCTTCTGATTTCTTTGCTATAGTCTCCATTTGGATTGATGGCTCCCACACACACAGATAGCCAAACACCCATGGACCTACAGTTACTTCACTTACTGTTTTCCAGTCTGTGAGCTGTTGTTTTGTCTTCCATATTTGTTGGCATATTCTTGCTGACAGAATAAGCCTCTGTAGCTTAAAATATTTCTATTGATGTCCCATCTATTCGTAGAGATATATTTCTTCCAAGTGCTTTGAGAGCCACTTTCACTTCGCTTTCTAAAATTGCAAATTCATGATCACAACTGTGGCGCTTGCCCTCATGGCCCATTTGTCTCACTAAACACAGAGCTCACAAAGGCAAACCAAAACATCTCCTGACATGCTGCGACCAATTGATCTCCTTATCAACTTACTTTACTTAGAAAAGATGAAGGTCCATTCAGTACTGACTTTTTAATAGAACAGGTTTATTTATTACAGTTGGTTTCTGGAGCAATTCATAAGCACATTCTTCAAGTTTCATCAAGCTTCAATATTAACCTTCTATAGTAGTTATCACAGTTTACACTCAGACTAATCACTCCTCAGACCCCAAACTATCCTTCTCTCTCTGATTCCTAATGCAGACTGAACTCAGACTTCCTCCTCCTCTCTCAGGCTCTGCCTTTTAACATCTCTTGTGGCCCAACAATTCTTCTACTTTTCTTCTTCAGCTAAACTCCGAGTCAGTGGTTTCCAATCCTAAGTCCCCAGTTATTCTTGGACTAAAACCTCCAGAGGCCTTCAATACTAGCTGTGCTGGCCAGGATTTCTGGGAGTAGTAGCCCAAGAATATCTTGGGACCCAGGGTTGGGAACCACTGCTTTAAGTGATATTCACAAAATGTGGTTAGCATCATAATCTGCTCCTGGTCTTGTTGAGGTACACAGAATACTTATGTCTGTGTTATCTATCCACTGCTTCCAATTAAATAGTATATTCCTTATCAGTGACTCCTTCTCAAACTGAGAGGAAGTAACAGTTGAGATACCCTAAGGCTCAGTTCTGGGTCTAGTGCTCTTCAACGTTCTTATTAGTAACTTGAATGAGGGAGTTCAAGGAATGCTTATCAAATTTGTGGATGACACAAAATTGGATGCAATTGCTAATTCCCTGCAAAATGGAATCAAAATTTTTTTAAAAAATGATCTTGATAGGCTTGAGCACTGTGCTGAAAACAGCAGAAAGAAATTTAACAGGGATACGTGAAAAAATCTGCACCTAGAGGGGAAAAACAAATAGTTACATGCTGGAAGATACTAGTGAGAAGGATCTTGGAATTGTTGTAGGTCCCAAGTTGTAGATACTCCAGCAATACAATGCGGCTGCAAAAGTGGCCAATGCTATTTTTATATACTGCCCATCTAGCAATCACTACTCTGAGCAAGAAAAAAAGCCATCAATTCTGGAATTATTATAATGCAATAAATTATCTCACCAACAAAACACACAAACCAAGATGGCAGCCGAATAAAAAATTCAAAGCACACAATGCAAGATTCCTTTCCTCTTCCTTCCTCTGTCCCAATAGATTGTGAAGAACTTCCCCAAAAGCTTCCTTCAAACACCTCTGTTTTTAGAAGCTTTTTAAGATGTGTAGAGAGGGTGCTTGCTGTAACTCCTGGGGGAGAACATTCCATAAGTAGGGTGCTGCTGCTGAGAAATCCTGGTTTCTAATTGATGTTTTCTGGGATTCTTGACTGATCAGTACCTTCAGGCATGAGGTCTGTGTAAACTAGATCAGCCCGAACTAGGCAGAAGATGTTCAGACAACAAGGTCCCAAACCATTTAGGGCTTTAAATGTTAGAACACGAACCTTGAACCTAGCATGGAAGTAGCACTAATTATATCTGGTGACATCTTGTTTCTGCCCTAGTTTCTCCAAGTATTGCCTTTTTAGCCCCGCAGGACTTTGTCATCTCCTGGAAGGCAAACAGCTAGCTGCTAGCCTTTGTGAAGAGACAGATGTTTCCTGGTTTCCCTCCTGCAACTGCCTCACTGCATATAGTGGCTGAAATAGGCGCAATAGAATTATTATTATTTTACATTAAATGCTCTGTATAAAAAGAAATCAAACTAAGCCAGTAAATCAATAAAATAGGGTGAAAGTGTAAAATAATTCCACATCAGTCAAAGGTCAAGTTAATCTAAAATTTATTCCAGTAAGCAGAAAAGTTTGGAATATAACAGAACATTGGGTGGCTTGCTTAATATGAATTCGTACAACATAAACTCATTTTGACTTTACAAAATCTCAAGCATCAAGCAAATAATTCAGTGCAGTAACAGTGGATATATTCAAAAATTATCCAATAATATGTTTATGAAACAAGAAAGAATATATGTAAATTAAATTACCGTATTTTTTGCACCATAAGACGCACTTTTCCCCCACAAAACAGGGGGGTGGAAAGTCTGTGTGTCTTATGGAGCGAAAAATACGGTAAATACTTGGGGGATTTAAAACTGTTGCATGCCTATTGTGTAGCATTAATATAAATCTAACCAAAGTAGATGCCTAAGATAATTCTAGGACACTGCTATTAAATATTTTTGCATGTTATAGTGTTTTTCCTGCTGGAGTAAATACAGCTTTCTGAGTCCTTTGTTTGTCACTGATCTTCATTTAGATAACTTTCCAGTGGACAAATTGAAATTGTTCTAAGTATATAAGCAGAATAAGCAAGAAATACCTCTTTAACAAACTAATGCAAAGCCAGTATTGTCAAAAGCAAACTCAAGGTAGCTGATTGCTGACTGTAAAATACTTTCTAGCTACACATTTTGCCTTTTCAGTGTCTGTTAGTACAAACCACAAATACATGCACTCCAGACTTAAGCTGATCAGTTCTTTTGTAGGTTGTTCTGCTGTAGAGATGTGTTCACATGGAAGATTATCTCAGCCCATACTAAGAATGTATGTGTACATCATCACTCATAGGCAACCATCTTAAATGTGAACTTTGAGTCACTAGTAGAGATGGGCATAAACCATCCCAGCTTCCCTGCCCCACCTCCACTGGGCGCTGCCTCTGAGTGGGTGCTCACTGGAGGAAACCCTTCTGGGAACCACGAAGCACCTGTTTGGCTGAGAAATGAACCAAGATGATATCCTGAACTGGTGGTTCATGCCCATCTCTAGTCACTACCCTAGATTTATGAGGTCCAGTAAATCACCAGCATTCCTGCCAAAGACTGACATCCTAAAATGTAAAGAGCACCACATCAAAAATTTAAATTGTTATGGAAATCAATAAGATGTCTGAGAAGGAACTGTGTGGAAATATGGAACCTGGATAATATAAATAAGGTAATCACTTATAGGACAGTGTTAAAGAAACCAATTTTAATGTATTTTAAATAACTTCGTCAAAGTTAAAGCTAAACTTTTTATTGATTACTCTGCTTCTCAATCTAGTAACCTGAAAGTTCTTCTTGGTTTTCCAAATAGTAAACGGTTGAAAATATGTGTTTCTGTTGTGGTCTGTGAACCAGTAGTAGCAAAAAACCATCCCCTGTAAATTTTCTGGACTATATAATATATGATTTCTGCTTCATGTGAATGGTGTTCATAGACAGGTATTTTCATGTCAACATGGGAAGATATTAGTATAACTTGGCTTAAGTTGACAAAAACACAAATCATTACCACCATAAAAGAGCCTAAGAAAAGACCTCCCAGAAACTCATCAGATGAAAATTCAGTGTTCCTAAATGCCAAGGCACAATAAGATAATATAGTAGAAAAGGAGTAAATTACATTATGAAAATTCCACTCATGTTGTCCAAATCCTAGATACCCAAGTGACATATATGCAAAAAAAAATATGCCCCCTGCTATAGACAGATTAATCATTGTAGGTATAGCTGCATATAAGGATTTTTGGGCCAAGCGTACACCATACAAAAATCTGAAATAGCGGTACATTTTCAAAACTAGGAGAAAAGCTAAAAATCCCATAATTATCCTGATGACTTGATCAAATTGAGAAACTGCATGGAAAGGAATGAACCGTTCCTGATGTTGTAAATAAAACTGCACTAAGTCAAAAGCTAGCTTAAATTTGAATAGAAGTAGCACTAGAAAAACAGTGCAAGTTGTCTTAATTCCAAAGTTGATTATGTTGGCAGCTGTACTTATATACCTCAGCCTTTTTTGATACAACACACGACATTCATCAGCAATGTACACTATCAGCATATATATAGTGCCTAACAACAACAAAATTTGACTTTTGGATTGGTCACTGAAAAGGGGAAGCCTGTAAGAATGAACTGACACACTACTGTTGACAGAACCAATATCAGAAGACTCGAATATGATAGAAATACTGCAGAAAAGATCTGCATCTGGATTAAAAGTGGTCAATTCAACAATTAGTGCCCAGGTCTTATCATCAAGCCAGTTGCTCGTTTCCAAAGTTTTTAACCTTGTTGTTGAATTAGCTTTTGGTTCTCCTGGGAAAAAATAAAAACTGTATCCTCTGGATGGATAGCTATTTAATTCTCCATATGAGTTATATTCCCACTGAGTAGTGGGATGTTCAAAGGTGAAGCCTAAAAAGCCACTGCTATCATTGGGAACTGAACTATTGACTGGCATTGCCCATGACCCAAAGTAGTTAGTCTGGTCTTCTGGGTCAATTCCATATTTCTTTTGGCAATGAGTGCCACTCAAAATGTATGTATTTGCCAAGCCATGTGGAAAATAACATGTTGATATAGAATCTGTACTTCTAATTTGCCTCATTCTGGGCAATCCAAGGACTTTCGACCAAGTATTTAAAAGATAGGTTGGTTGATACTCATTGTGTATCAATGGCACAAAGATATCCTTCACCCAATTGTAAATGTCTTCTATTGTATGTACTTTGGATAAGCCAACAGAAAATCTGTTATACATAAGTTGATTGTAATAAAAACTATTAGTGATTTCGGCAGGGTGTGTAGCATTTAAAATTAAGGTTAAGAAAACTAGATGACAGAGCATATTCTTTACAAAAATATAACCCAGATTTTTAATCTTCTCTATCCTTCGCAATACTGTGAGTTCCTCCTCGTTTATTGGCTGGTATTGCTTGGAAGCTCTCAGTCTGAGGAGCTCACGATGTGACTGTGCCATCTCTTCCATGGTCATAATTCTCCCATGAAACTGGATATCTGGATAGCGTAACCATGGGAGTTTTGCACAAAATTTTGCAGAACCAGTATTCCATGCCGATATTGCAACTATCTTTACAGTCTCAAACAAAAACACACTTAAGCAAAATGATGTCAAGGATGCTATTAACCATTCGAATGATGTTTTCTCATCATAAGACAAGCCATGTAATATGATGAAAAATGATGACAGCCCAGATGTACAGAATACAAAGGACCAAGCGATGACTAGAAAACATAAAAGAAGTTGTGGTTTCTGTATTTTCTCAGAAAATGTTTCCTTTTTTGCTGCATTATTATTGGCATTGAGATCCATGAGTGAGAATGGTTTGGACTTCTTCTTTGTAAGTGGAGCATCTTTTAGACTGGCCTCTTTAGAAGAGCTTTCTGATAGAAAGGATGACTTTTCTTTTACCTGAGGATCTCTGTTACACCATGAATGCTTCTTCACTGAGTACTTAAACAAGGTTGTCACTATTAGCTCCACAGGGATGGACATTAAAGCACTTTGAATGCCAATTCTTATAGATCTTAAGGTCTGCAGATCTACTAAATGGACATGTTGCTCATATTCAATACTGAAGAACATAATGTTAAACACAAGGGAGCTCAATAGTATTGCTAAGCAGCAAGACAGCCTTTGGAATCTGCTGAAAGAGTCATCAATACTATGAGCAAAGACAGACAGCCACAGGTGGTCATTACTTAATCCATGGCTAACCATGATTAAAAAAGTATCGATTGTGCTTAAGGGTACATTTGGGTTTGTCACTGGGAAAGTCCTTTCTATTTGGCAGTCATCCTTGCCAAGAGCGAACCACTTTCTACACATAAATAGCCATGACTGCTTAGTATCCGTATTTTGGACTTTGACACGACTTAAGTACCAGTTAGAACCAAAGTAGCAATTATTGTGCCAAACATGAAGAGAAGAAAGTTCTCCTAAGTCCATCTCTGTAGTCAGGAGAAAAGTGTTGATAGCTCCTCGGCGGAAGTTTCTTGGGAACAGAGGATGCTTTAATTGGTGCACATCACTGACCCCATTTTGGCCAGTCAGCTGAATAAAGACAGTAGCTTGCGTGCCTGCTCGTAGACGGCTCCCTGTGTATATGGTAAGTAAGTATCTTGTCTTGTCAAAGGGATCATTATCTGGCAAGTCTATGATGCAGTCCCTCTTGCGTATTTTATCTTTTCCTAAGACATAGATAGCCAAAAAAATGTAGGTGATAAAGATGGCAAATACTGTCCACCATGTTACAGGATTTTGGCCAGTCTCTGATAAAAGAGATCTTTCTTTATCAACTTGACTAGGGAATAGAGCTACCTTGCTGGCCAAAAATCTAATGCCAGAGGTCTCTGCTGGCCTAGGAATGGCTTTTCTTGTGGTGGGTTCTCTTGCTTCACAAATGCAATGTATCTTGGACCAGCTGGTCTGGCGGCCAAGGCTACACGTTCCTTCTTTCCATTGGCTCTGAATGCCGACCAGATCCAGGCATTCAGCAGCAAAAAGAGCAATGCGGACAATCTTTGTTGTTCGGTCTCGAACAATTGGGTGCGACTGTAAGACAATAGAAATATTCAGTTTGTCTACTCCATTGTTGCTGACCTGGGGCCAAAATAATGAGTGAGGAAGACAAAGTATATATGGAGCCTTAATTTCACAATCAGTAATATTATTTTGTGTTTTATTTGCTATCGGGGGACTGTGGTGGGAAACAATATATATAGCTACAGGAGGGTGACTGATATTATGACCTAGGTATATAAATACCTGGAAAGTAATCTTTATTTTAGATACAATCTGGATAAAAACATCTTTGGAACCTCTCCTTATTTCAAAACTAAAGCCTCCAGTTGTTTTAGAGAGCTTTTTGTCTGGTCCTATAGTCAAGTCAAAGAGTCCCCCATCTTTTCGAGCCATGATGACCTCAGCTACATCAGGCGTGATGCTGACTGTGTCACCATTAGATTTGGTTCCCGTCATTTTGAATCCAGCCACCACTGTGCCAATGTCTTTTGTAAAAAGCAACCAAGGAAAGGGATTGATTTCAAATTCATAAAAAGCAGTGGAAACTATAGCATCTACCTGTAATTCGGGATGATGGCTCTCCTTCAATTTGGGATGAAAACAGTTTCTACAGTATTTTTTGTCCGATAAACTTCCAGAAACGTCCCACTTCTCATCTTTCCGTAAGTGGATGGTCCAGTATTTGGTCTCCATGTGGGTTTCGTGTTCCCCAGGGACTTTACCTTGTAAGATTAGACCTGCTAAAATTTCCATCACCAAAATAGTTTCTCTTACAACAGCCACATTGCTGTTTCCAGTGCTCAGGAGAGAGGCTGTCAACACATTAGACAGCCCAGTGAAAATACCACTGCCAAGGATCTCGGTTTGCTTAGAACCTATGTCCCTGTGCCTTTTTAGAGCTTCACTGACTTCTTTTAGTTTTCTGACTGCAAGCAGTTGTGATTCTCTGTTTATTTCATAAGTTTCGTATGTCACTTGGCAAATGCTCAAAATCACTTGGTTTATTTCCTGTACATCCATGGTAGGTATACCTGCAATCATATTAAGGAGTGTTTGCCGCAAATCAGTTTTAGAGCCTTGAATAGTAGATGAAACCTTGACGTTATTTAAAAGAGAGGCCATTGTATATATAAAATAACCTGTTTTAAGGTGATTTTCTGATAGTGGCAAGTTTGTCATAGGAACATCTTGTCTACCAAGTAAAGCATATAATTTCTGATGAACAATATCAGCTGACTTACTTTTTCTTTGATTGCGCACAGTTGCTTGTAAAGTTACTTGAGAACAGGCGCCAAGGGAATCATATACTTGAACATATATTATCAAGGCAGAATTTGCAGATGGCATACCAACTGGGAGAAAAAAGTGAGGAGTTTTATGTTTCTGACCAGCATATACTATTATTCCCAAAGTACTATTCTCTATTGAAGAAATAGTACCAGTTTTCTTTTGATTAGCTGCTGCTATTACTTTATATGTAAGAGGCCCATTCTTATCTTCAAATCCATTGCACTGAATAATGAATTTTGTTAAGAATGCTGTACCTGTCCTTGGATTAAGAACACATTTTCCTATCTGTGGAGGACCATTAACATAGAAAAAGTACTTGTAGGTAGCTGACTCTCCATCCTTTGTTACGATGGTCAGACTAAGAATATACGACTGCTCTGCCCTGGATACAAATGCAAAAGCGTTTATGCGTAGATATGAATTTGACCGTCCTGTTGTGGTTTTGGAAGACCAGTCAAAATCTATTTCGCTGGATTTTGCTGAATGCAGTGACCAACGATAGAGAGGCTTTATAGTTTTACAATTCAGGCATTTCCCAGAAAGACAGAATCTTTCTGTTGGAATTACTGATGTACCACAATTTTCAATACAAGTGACATTCAGGATTAGGGCAGAGTGACCCTGCACAGACACTGTTTGCTCAGTCTGAGCTGTTCTGCTACCATTCTGAACCATCAGGAGAAAATAATACAAAGTATTTCCTGGAAGTGTTTGGGGTTGCACTATTTGAATTGGATCTGAAGAAGATATCCATTTCAAACCTACCTGATCTGGATGACATTTCTTATTTCTGCTTAGAGTCATTGATATATAGTCTGTTTTTTGTTTAGTGCAATACCAAGTAAATGTTAGTTCTTCAGAGGGCTGAATGGCATTACCATTAGAGAACGCCGATCCATTGAGTGTCCACTGCTCAGAAAATCTCACTGTCCGGAAATTGCCTCCATCAATGACAGCCACTAAGTTATCAGGCCCAATCTCAATAAACACTGAATCAGAGGCTATTTTGGTATCCCATGTATCTAATGATGTTAATTTCATGGTGAAATTAAAGAGATACAATCCACAATCTAAGCTAGAACTAGGCACTTTTAATGTGGCAACATTTCTTTTTCCGATACCAGGTGGGTTAAAAGGTTTTGACCAGTTGGGTGTATGTGCCATGTTCGGAACTTTATAGATGTTCCAAACGATATGTGTTTGTTTCTGGCCTGGGCAATTTATCTGTGTATCAGCAGTCACAGTAAATTCTGTCCCTTGAGTATAATGCATGATATGCTTAGAAGTGCTAGACTTCTGGATATTAATATCTGTAATAGAACAATGTTGATATTGGCAGGCTATCCTTGATTCTATTATTTTTGAAGCATAAGTGTTGAATGTAGCTTTTAAAGTAATTGGCATAGAGTAATTGCTGGTGCATTTCACTTTTGCTACAAATCCAGTGTACATGGCAGGATTGAAAGGCAAGTAAGAATCAGGAATGAAATGTGTAGCATTTCTGACTTGATCTAGGTATGTAAAGGTATCATTCTGAATGGGATACTTAACTCTTGAATCAAAAAGCTGCAAGTTAAAAGTCCACTCACACTGTAGTAGAGGGTGCTGCACTGGAATAAACCATACAATATAGAAAAGCCTTTCTTCGAGAGAACTGCTGTTGAAAACATGAATATCAATCTCTTTTTCTCCTAGAGATTTGAACAGAGTTCCGTTTCGGTTCAGATATATATGCATGCTGAACCTGAATAATTGTAGCTGTAGAAATTCAGCAATGAACAGGTAAGAGAAGCTTGCTTGCTGGTAAAAGATATAGTGAGAACTGGAATTATTACCAGTGGCACTTTCTTGAGTAGAATAGAACAGTCCCAATGTATGGCTAACAATATATGTGCCCAGTTTGATTTTTGCTGGGTTGAGTGTAAGATAAATAGGGGCTGCACTGCTTGCGCTGAAAATCAGAGTCTCATTAGAGAAATCAAGTTTTCCTGTCAACTCTTCAGTCAAGTTTTCATTGGTATGGAAGTAGATGCTAGCCACCACCTTTTCCTTGGAATTATGTGGTGTGTGAACAGCGCAGAAATTGCTGTGGAGTGAAAAAGGGTTGTAGTTATAGGTGTGAGACCACCCTCTTCTACCTTGCATATCCAATAGTTTATAAGTTACTGTCCCTTGGCTGAGTGGTAGAAATCTCCAAGAAAGGTGGAGTGTCCCATGTGGGTGGCTCAGTAATTTAGAATTTGCGCTAAAGACGTGAAGCAGAGCAGGTTCCACAAAGAAATCCATGCTAAGGCTGATTGGAGGTCCATCCTCAATACTGACGGAAGCAGTGTGGATTCCACGGCGGGGATAGCGTACGGTCAAGTGGTAGTTGTAGTATGACCGGCAGACTTGATACAGTTCTGCATTAGGGTAAGCAGCAAATGGAGGCGGATCACTATATTGGTTGCTAGGAATGAGGATGTCTGCAGGACTACCCTTTCGACTCCTGAAGTGGTAGATCCATGTGGAACTCTTAAGACGTGCACACCAACCCAACTGAACCGGCTGCCATTCAAAAACTGGGACTGTGTGCGGCCAGAATAGAAAGAGACGGACATCCTGCCCAGAGACCTGAATACTCAGATTGTGGTAAAAGCACAAAGGTGCTTCACACATAGCTGATGTACACTGTACTGTGATCTGACTATAAGCCCATGGTGGATGCGGACCTTCTCCAGTCAGGCCTGAACCCAGCGTCAGATGACCTGACCAGTGATTTGTAGTGTTTACCAAGATGGAATCTCGGTACCATTGGCAGTAAGGAGGGGATTGGAAGTCAGGCTCTTCCTTTCCATGATTGATTTCCTTCCCAGAATTCACTCTTGAGTACTGCATCACAATATATCCATCCCAGAGACATGAGATTCGGAGGTCATTGTCTTGTCGTTGATAAACACGATTTTCCGGCTTTGAGCAAGTGACTGATAAAGGTGGTGGCAGGAAATCAGAAAGTGTAACTGCTTGGTATTGGGGAAAACACAAACGACAGAAGAGAAGTACAAGACAGAAAAGGCACCTCATCATTGGCAAAGAAACCTGAGTTGGTTGAGCTAGCAACAACTGTCTCCCAGCAACATCAAGGGTCAGAGTGGATTCTAGAATCTTTGTTCTGTTGCCTTGGGCCGCCTTCAGTATATTTTCAATATGGTCATGGTATTTGTGCCTTTCTTTCTTTACCCAGGATTCTACATTCCTCTTCCTAGCCTTCACACGTCACATTATTCTGGATTTATTTATACCTGTATTTATTATAATGAAATATTTTAATAGCACTTCACATTGCATATGTATATTGTTATACATGCACACATAGTTACAGTGGGGTCTTGACTTAAGAACGGCTTGAGTTAAGAACATTTTGACTTAAGAACCACTCTCTTAGGAAAATATTGACTTGACTTACATACTTAGATTTGAGTTAAGAACTGAAAAAAACCACGTGGGAGGCAGGGAAAGTGCAAAATGTGAACTTTCGGTTAACTGTTGGCCAGTGAAAAGGGTGCCTGTCTGCTTCCTCACTCCTCCCAGCGTTTAGAGAGTGGATTGGGAGACAGTCTTCAGACTGCCTGGTACTGGACTGCCTGGACTGTATTTTCCCTGCCTTCCCTGAACCTTTCTTGACCTAAGAAAAAAAGAAACAAAATATCCCCCTCTAGTGGTCGAAGGCAGAATAGCAGCTTCCCATTAGTTTCTATGGACGGAAAAGAGCAGATACGGATCAAATGGTTTTCAATGCATTCCTATGGGAAATGCAGATTTGACCTGAGAACTTTTTGACTTGAGAACCGCCTTCCAAAACGGATTAAGTTCTCAAGTCAAGACCCCACTGTATGTATGTATAGCAATAGGCATATGTAATGTGTGTAATTTTTGGTAACTTTGTGGCATTTCCGTTTTGACAATATTACTGGCAGCAGAAAATGAAGTCTGACTAAGAATTTCATAGGAATATATTGGTTCTAGAAAGCATGTTTACGTACATGCATATACACAGACTGAATCCCATAAAAGTGCTTTCCCCCCCTTCTGCTTTAAGTGCAGCCAAAATATAGTTTGAACAGGATTTGAAACTTTTTTGAGGTGGTACCATTTGAGATTCAATGAGAAGGGTGCATATTTGAATCTTTCAGCGAGGGATGGAGCAGTACAGTGATGCCTGCTTTAAGCCAAAAACTACTATGTAACAGAGAAAGGATATCAAAAAGGGGGATGTTCTTAGTTATCATGTGAGCAGCCAGAAGGCTAATCCTCACCTGAAATTCCAGGCAGTACTAAAAGTTTTGCTAATTTGAGTGGGAACTAGTCTTGGGCTAATCAAATGGGATACTAGATACTAGAATAAATATTGAATGCACTGTATCACTTCCCAAAATTAATTCCCAATTTCTTGACCTATTAAGGAAAGATTCATTTTAAGGGAACATTTAAAAGCTCATATTTTCAAGCTCAAAATAATACAAATTCTTCATGAGTACCACCACTTCATTAGAAGAACTGAAACACTCAAATTCTTTTCAGGAGCAATTAAAGACATTGCTTTTCAGGGAAGCTTTCCACACTGACCCCAACTGACCACCGTCCCCCCCCCTTTTCCCCTCCACTTCTTACCCTCCCCTCTTTTCCTCCATCCACTCTGGGATTAGTCAGTGCCATCTGGTGTTTTTTCTTAGGGTTATTGCTGTTGGTTTTAATATTTCCATTTTTGTGTTTTCTATTTCACATGTTGTAACCCGCCCAGAGTAGTATTGTGATACTAATGGAAGCGGGATACAAATTGGATAAATAAATAAATACATTCTGTAGCTTAGCAGGATGTTTCCACTTCCACCTTCTTTGGCTGCTGTGAATCAAATTATGTGTTAAACAAGGTGGCAGTTACACAGCACATATAGGAATAATATAGAGCACACTAGAGGAACAAACCCTGCACCCAGCAGTGTTCTCTACACAAGGATACGGAATTGTGTTAAGCCCATTGTACTCGTGGGAACTCTCCTCCTTACTCTCCTGGTGCACAGCGTGAATTGGAGCAGAGATGCCTATGGAGTCTATATGAGTAGTTCCTTCTTCACTTTTAGTTCATTGATTGAAAATTAAAGATAGAGAGATATGACATATTTGACAGGGTCTTATATCCGAAATATTGAGCCAGCCATGATTCTATGCCATCTTAAGGATGACACTTTTCTGATAGTGTGGAAGTTTTATTTTGGAGTGGCCCAAATCTCATTTTGGATGTACATTCCATGTTCTGTACCATTTCTACATATCATAAAGAAATGGCAGTTCTTGGCATGGGGGTTTGTGTCCAAATAGCATTGCTTGGATCCAGTGCCATCTTGCAAATAACACAGTTCCGGCAATATGAGTAAAAGATTGCCACAAAGTTTAGTGTTGTACCTAGAGGAGACGTGCATTGCTCAGTATTGTGTAAAACCAATACACTTTGGGCCTTTTCTCCTTCAAGAGACTCCTGAAAAAGATACTCTTCCCTGACACTTTTCAGGGCAACCCATCATGATGACTACCAAATTATATTTGATCCCCCATCTATTGCCTGGTGCTGACTGATTTATTTTATGTTTATTGATTTTATTATATTTCCTTTATTATTGCTTTATTATATTACTTGTTAACTGCCCAGAGTAGTGTCAACATTAATTGGGTGGTATAGAACTTCAATAAAGAAAGAAAGAAATACATTTGGCTGATACGAATTGTTACATATCTTGAAGGACAAGGTCCCTTAGGCATGAAGATGCATGTTGTTGGACAGAACAATTCTAAGTTTAGTTTCAGGGACATCTAAACATCTGCTCTACTCTGCTTTGATGTTGCATGTAAATGAAGAACTGGGAACTAGTGCCTACTTTTAGCATCATTTCCTTGGTGTATTGTTTAGGATTAATTTATACTCGTCCTTGTTGTTGGTATACGCCATTGAGCCACTCCAATTTATGACAATTTTATAAATTAGTGACCTCTGAAAGGCCCTATCATTAACAGTCCAGCTCAGTTCTTGCAAAGTCTAGATCATGACTTTCTTTATTGAGTCAATCCAACCCTTACTTGTTCTTCCTCTTTTCCTATTACCTTCAACTTTCCACAGCATGATTATCTTTTAGAGTGAGTCTTGTCTTCTCATTATGTGCCCAACATACAGTGGCTTCAGTTTAGTCTTTTTTTTGTTTTCCTTCTAGGTTTTTTTGCTTCTAGGTTTGATTTGATCTACAGTCATGTGAAAAAGTATATCCTTTTTTAATTCTGTGGTTTTACATCTGAAAGTTAGGTAAATATAACCTCAGATGAACAACAACACATGACATATTACACCTTGTCATTATTTATTTAACAAAAAATAAAGCCAAAATGGAGATGCCATGTGTGAAAAATCAAGTTAACCTTTACTGCTTCCATAGGATTTAAGAGGTTAAGTAGCAGCCAGGTACTGCTAACCAAATGCCCTTGAGTAATTGATCATCAGCAAGTATGACCACCTCTATAAAAGCCAAAGTTTTAGCAGTTTGTTGATCTGGGGCATTCAGGTGTGTGTTAACTTAATGCCAAGGAGGAAAAACATCAGCAATGGTAGTAGAAAAGCATTTGTTGCTGCCCATCAATCAGGAAGAGTTATAAGGAGTGGACATCCAAGCAAATTCACCCCAAGGCTAGACCATGCAATGCTGAGAAAAATTGAAAAAAACCCACAAGTTACCTTTCAGGCTCAGTTAGCATGTCAAATGTTAAAGTTCATGACACTACAATTAGAAAAAGACAGTACAAATATGGTTTGTTTGGCAGGGTTGCCAGGACAAAACCAAGAAGAACATAGTAGTATGGCTTAGGTTTGCAAACTTGCATCTGGACAGTGCACAAGACTTTTGAAACAATCTCCTTTGGACAGATAAGACCAAATTGGAGATGTTTGGCTATAATGCAGAGCACCACGTTTGGCAAAAATCAAACACAGCATATCAGCACAAAGACCTCATACCAGCTGTCAAGCATGGTGGTGGAAAGGTGATGATTTGGGCTTGTTTTGCAATGAATTCCTCTGTATACCAAAGTATTCTAGAGTCAGATGTGAAGCCATCTGTCCAGCAGCTAAATCTTGGCTGAAATTGGGTCATGCAACAGGACAGTGATCCCAAGCACATCAGCAAATCTACAACAGAATAGCTGAAAAATAAAAGAATCAGCGTGCTGCCATGGTCATCAGCATCAACAGCAACATTCCCGTATGCAGAAACTATAAGGGATGGTGCAATACATCGTCAGTACAATTTAAAATAACTCTCCTGATGAGGAGGAAATAATCCAGTTGCTGGGGCAAATGGATCAATGTTGGCCATGCATCATGAGAACAGAAAATTTTGACAAGATCTAAATAATAGCCAAATTGGTATAATTGGGGTTCTTTTGGCAGGTGTGATCGAGCCCTCTGTCTCCATCTGGACTAATGAATGAATGAAAGTACTGTACAATCTTTAGCAATTTATGTCTTCATTGTTACCAGTATCATTGAAGTTATGCAATTCAACTGTAGTCATACTTTTGTCTTCAGTCCTGGTAAGAATGAGAACAACAGGAACTATTGTGCTCTGAAAAATTAACAAATTCTGTTTTGCAGAAGCTTTTCAGGATAGTGACTTAGATAGTGCTCCTGCAATCTAGAAAGAAAGGATAAAAAAGTAAATGATTCCCATCCACTGGTGGTACGATGAGAAATATTTAACTAAATGATTCATTCTGGAAGGCGGGAATGGGCTCTCCTGGCTATGGTTTGCATAAAAATTGCTGCTTTCTGAAACCTGAAAGACAGTCAAACTAGAGGAATAAATTAGCTATGAAGAAACAGAGTGGAATGTTGTGGATGTTGTTTTAGTGTATTGAAAAACTATGGAGAGCAGTCTTCGAGGGAAAATCTATAGACTTTATTCAGCGTTTATCAGTGTCTTTCTTAAATAGAAAGACAATCTATTTTCTTGCCATCTAATTGTTTGGTTCTCAGTCCTTTTTGTTGCTTCTCAGTGATCACAGGTTTTCCAAAGATTATAGTGTTGGCAACAGCAGTGTCACTTTCAGATGATGTTTGGTAGGTGATAGAACGCCATATATGTTGGATCTTCAAAACCACAAAGTTTATTGCTTCTGCTTCATCAGAATGTTGTTCATAGACAGGTTGTTTCATTGATATGTAAGTAGACATTAAAAGGGCTCTCCACAGATTAATAAAAACACATATAAATACTAACATAAATGAACCTCGGAAAAATATCCCCAGCCATCTATCGGATGTAACAATACCAGTCCTTTTAAGTCCAGAAAAACAATATGAAACTACAGTCTGAAGAGAATGTATCAATGTATTATAACTCCATTCATATTCACCAAATATTAGGTACCCAAATGACATGTAGGTAGAAAATAACAGAGCAGCAAACATAGTCAAATAAATGAATCCAGGAAAAGCTGCAGACATTGTTTTTTCTGCCAAACGCATTTTGTAAAGAAATCTGAAATAGCGATATGGTTTCAAAACCAGAAGAAAAGCCAAAACGCCTGTAACCATTCTGTAGAGCTGGTCAACCTGAGAAACTACATGGAAGGGAACAAATTCCTCTGGATTAAGCAAATGAAACTCTAACAAAGTGAACGCCAGCTTGTATTTCAGCGCAATTAGCAATATAAAAAAAATACAGATGGTCTTTATTGCAAAATTATTTAAGTTTGTGGCAGTTTTGAGGTAACCTATCCTTTCTTGCCGTAACATGTGAAATTCATCAGCAAGGTAAAATACAAGAATATATACTATAATTCCATACACAACCTTCTGAGAGTTGGTTACATAGCGAAAAATAGATAGTTTGTAAGAATGAACAGACAAACTTGCATTAACAACACCCATATCAGTCGTTTCAAACATAATAGTAATGCTGCAGTAAAGATTGACGTCTGGATTAAACGTAGTTAACTCAAAAATCACTGCCCATGTCCGCTCATCAAGCCAGTTGTTCCTCTGTAAATCATCCAGTCTCAGTGTCGTATTGGGTCGCTGTTCTCGAGGAAAAAAATAAAAGGAATATCCGCCAGGTCCATATGCATTGAAAACACCATAAGATTTATATTCCCACTGATAAATGTCTGACTGGTATGTAAACCCTTGAAAACTGCTGGAGTGATTTGTAGCTGATTGATTGGCTGGGTTGGTCCATGAATTAATATAATCACTTTGGTCTTCTGAATCAGTATTATAATTATGGCGGCAGTGGCTTTTACTAATCACATACTTATTTAAAAAGCTGTGAGAAGTAAAACATGTTTTTTTGGTGTTTTTTGCCCTTATTTGCCTCATTCTGGGCAAGCCAAGTATTTTGGACCAAGACTCTGAAAGATAAGTGGGTTCATAGTCGTTGTGTATCAGTGGCACAAAGACATTACTCATCCACATGTAAATATGCTCCAGCTTATTTACTTTTGATAGGCCAGGAGAAAACTTGTTATATATAGCTTTGTTGTAATAAAACGTAGTTGTCGGTTCTATGGAGTAAGCAACAGATAAAACGCAGGATGAGAAAAGAAGGTGACAGATTATATCTTTTACAAAAACAAACGCCAGGTGTTGAGCCCTTACTTTTTTCCTCAAAACAATGAGTTCATCCTCTATTAAAGGTGCATATTCCTTGGTACGTCTGACTCTGATAAATTCATTATGAATCCATCTCATCTCTTTATCATCCATACTGAATTGAACCAGTTTCAGATGTTGGTATTGTTCTGTGCTTATCCAGTTAATATTTTCACAGTACTTAAGAGTAATAGTACTCATGGCTGAGATGAGGCCCATCTTTAGGGTTTGCAGCAAAAACACACTCTCAAAAAACGATGTCATGGATGCTATGAACCACTCCATTGATGTTGTATATCCATAGGTCAAACCATATAATATAATCAAAAAGGCAGAAGCCCCAGATATTAAAAAGACTAGAGCCCAAGCGACATATCTCCAAAACCATGAAAACCGTGGTGTTTTAAAAAAGAACAGCAGCTCTGGATGCACAGCCATCTGATCTGCATCGCTGCTGCTACTTGAATCCTCATCTGGTACATTATTGTTGCTGGCATTATCTTCTGGAAATGGCATATCTTGGACTTTTGAATGTGAAGTTTGCTCATCTGGCAAAGTACCCTCTTTCATTAGGGTTTCAGACAAAGAAGGGAGGTCTTCTCTTGGGTCATTCTTACTTGTGTTCTGTACTGAAGGTTTATCTTGAGAGTACTTAAATAAGACTGTTATAGTCAATTGCACAGGGATGGAAAACAAAGCACTCACAAATCCAATATAGATGGACTTCAGATACCGTTGCTTCACTGATATAACTTCCTTTTCCTCTTCACCACTAAAGAACATGATATTAAATAGCAGAGTAGTGAGCATTATGACCAAGCAACAAGATACTCTTTGCACTCTGGTGAAAGAACCAGTGGCAACCTCAGAAAAAATGGAGAGCCATATGTGACTCTCTTCCAGATCTCGGGCAAGGTTAATCAAGAAGTAATCCATTTTATTTAAGCTGGATTTTAGATTTCTGGCAGCAAATGATCTTTCTATTTTACCATCAGCCTTGCCAAGCCCTAACCAGTTTCTACAAAGGAACAGCCAGGACTGTTTCGTCTGAACATTATGTATTTTGACTCGGCTTAAGTACCAGTTTGGGGAAGAACCGCTGGTATTGTGCCAGACGTGAAGGGACAAAATCTGCCCCAAGTCATATTTAGTAGTTAGAAGAAAGGTGTCGATGGATGCACGAGAGAAGGTAGGGAACTGTGGATGCTTCATGTGATGTACATCACTGACACCGTTCTGCCCTATCAATTCAAGAAAAATGTCTGCTGTGGTTCCAGATCCCAAACGGCTACCTGTATATATGGTGACCAGATAGCGAACTTTTTGGTAAGGGTCGTTGTCTGGTAGGACTAATATTTTATTTTTTCTTTTCAAATCGGCTTTATCTTTGATCATGGCCCAGGTAGCACAGAAAATGTAGCCTGCAAAAATAGAAAATACAGTAAACAAGGTAACTGGATTTGTATCGAATTCTGCTAAGAGGACCTTATTGATGTCCAGAGGATTTGGGTATAATACAAGTCTGCCGGACAAAAATTTGATGTCAGAATCATCCATCAATTGGCGACTGGTTTTTGTGTTAGACTCTTTTGCTTCACAAATGCAATGTATCTTGGACCAGCTGCTCTGAGGGCCCAAACTACATGATCCTCCTTTCCACTGGTTCTGAAGGCTGTCCAGATTTAGGCAGTCTGCTGTAAAAACCACAATGCGAACTATTTTCGTGGTTTGCCTTCTCACAATTGGGTCTGATTTGATTACCACTGAAACGTTCCATGTATTTCTTCTGCTGCCTTTGAATGCAGATCGAAGTAACGAATGAGGAAGACACAGGATATATGGTGCTTGAATGGCACAGTCAGTGATGGTGGGGTGCATTTCATGTGGTACTGGAGGTTTATCAGAGAAAGCGGTATAAGATGCTATTGGAGGGTGGCTGACATTGAGACCCAGGTGGATAGATACATCAAAAGTAACATTTATCTCACTCAGAATCTGGATAAATGTATCTTGGGTAGTTGGTTTCATTTCAATATTAAAACCACCAGTCGTTTTGTAGAGTTCTCTATCTGGTCCTATTGTCAAATTAAAGGGGTTTGATTTCTGATCTTTTCTCACCAAAATCACATCTGCTACTCCAGGGTTTATCCCTACAACGTCACCATTAGATTTGGCTCCTACCATTTTGAATCCAATCACTGCGGTGTGAATATCTGATGTATTTGCTAGCCAAGGGAAGGGATCCTTATCAAATATGTAGTTAACTGTGGAAACCACTGCATCTGCTGGTAATTCATTGTGAGTCTCCTGGCTCAGTCGAGGATAAAAGCAATTTCTGCATTGTTTCTTCATAGAGAAAACTCTAGAAACATCTCTTTTTTCATTCTTCCATAAGTGGAGGGACCAATCTTTGGCTTCCATGTTAGTTTCATGCTCCCCAGGGACTTTCCTTCCTAAGACAAGGTCTGCTAATATTTCTGTCACGTGAATGGCTTCTTGAACACCATTTATATTGATATTCTGGTGGTTCCCGACAGATGCTCTCAACACATTGGACAGCCCAATAAATATACCATTGCCAAGGACCTCCAGTTCCTTAGACTTTAGATCTTTTAGTCTGTGCCTTTTTAGGGCTTCAGTGGCATTTTTTAAAATTCTGAGTGTAAGCAATTGCGATTCTCTACTAATTTCCTTAACATCCTGTGTTATTTGACAGGTACTTGAAACTATTTGGTTTATAATTTGTATTCCTGTCAGGGGAATCCCTACAGACAAGTTAAGCAGGATTTCCCGTAAATCAACTTTTAAGTCATAAATGAGTGGTGATGCTTCAATGTTATTTAATGAAGAGGCTACCATATATATATATAAGCCCATATTAAAGTAGTCTTTGGTTTTCAGGAAAACTGATATAGGACCATTTAGCCTTCTGACTAGATTACGCAGTTCATAAAGAACCTCATCACTTGACCTATTCCTTCCTGGATCATACACAGTTGCCTGCAAAGTGACTTGAGAAAATATACCATCAGCATCATACACTTGAACATATATCACCAAGGCATAATTTTTAGATGGTAAGCCAGGAGGGAGAAATGATGGAGGAGTTTTCCGTTGATAACCAATGTACACTGCTGTTCCTAATACAGTATTCTGTAAATATGTTGTGTTCGTTGTTTCTGTTGGATCAGAGTACACCATCACTTTATATGTAAGAGGTCCATTTTTTACTTCAAATCCAGTACACTGGACAGTGAATTTTGTAAAGAATGCAGTACCTTCCTTTGGATAAATGATACATTTTCCAGTCCGTGGTGGAGGGTTCACATAAAATGAATACTTATAAACAGCTGAATGTCTTCCCTGTGTGCTTACTTTCAAGCTAAGAGTATAGGATTTACCTACCATGTATCTGAGTGCAAAAGAATTTATATGCATGTATGGATTTGATCTTCCTGTTTTAGTTTTGGAAGCCCAGTCAAAATTTATTTCCTTGGAGTTGGCAGAAAGTAGTGTCCAGAGGTAAACTGGTTCAGTTTTCTCACAATTTAGACACCTTCCAGACAGGATAAAGCTTTCTGACACTTTGATGGATTTCTCACAATTTTCTAAACAGGTGACATCCAGCAATGGTACAGAACCAGGAACGACATGCACTGTTTGAAATGAGCTTGCCATTCTGTCCTGCTTTAGAACTACAAGAACGAAATAATACTTCATATTTTCCTGAAGCACGTTAGGTTTCACCATTTGAACTGAATGAGTAGAATAACTCCAGAGTAAGTCCATTTGATGTGGCTGGCATTTTTGATCCGGACTTAATTTCATTATTGAATAGTCCAATTCCTGTTGGGTGCAGTACCACCTAAACACAAGTCCTTCAAGGGGTTTGGCTGAATCAGGGTCAAATGAGGCAGATGCATTCAAAGCCCAGAAATCAGAAACACCAACTGTCCGGAACAAGCCTCCAGCTATGACTGCCACTAAGTCACTTGGTAGAATTTGGAGAATTACTGAATCTGATTCCACAAACGTCATAGCATACTCAGGCAGGAGAACTCTCATGGTTACATTCACATGATAAAAACCGTAAGACAGGACATTTCTAGGTATGTTAAACATTACTCCATCTGTATTTATTTCATTAGGTAGCATTAGAGGATTTGCCCAGTCTGGAATAGACGATGCCATTGTAAGGCTATAGATTTTCCAGCCTAGGCCTAGACTTGGGCTAGTTCTGCATTCTGCTTTCATGGTTGCTTGCAGTGTAATTGCTGACCCTCTCTTATAACCCATTATAAGATTAGAAGGATTTGGTTTGTGGATTGTGACTGTCAGCTCATGGCAGTAGCTTTTTTGGCAAGCCACTGTTGGCTCTGTTACTTTTGAAGCGTAAGTATTCACTGTGGCCTTTAGAATAGCGTGTGCAAGTCCACTTTTCCTGCAGTTCACCGGGGCTACAAAACCAGTGTATAGGGTAGGTCTGAAAGATAAAACAGAGTGAGGAAGAAAACGAGCAGCACTTTTTACATGATTCCTGTACGTGTAGGTGCTGTTCCAAAGAAGGTGCTTCTTCCTGGAATCAAAAAGTTGCAAATTGAAGGCCCATTCGCACTGGAGCTGTGGATGCTGTAATGGAATAAACCATACAATATAGACCACACTTTCTTCAGGAGAATGGTCACTGAATATGTGAATGTCCATATCTTTTTCTCCTAAAGACTTGAACAGATTGTCTCTTCGGTTCAGATACAAGTGCATGCTGAATCTGTACCATCGTAGCTGAATAAATTCGAGGATGATTAGGTATGACAGGCTCTGCTGTTGGTAAAAAATATAGTGAAAGCTGGATTGCTCCCTTGTGTCATTTGCAGTCATAATTTCCTGGGTGGAATGGTAGAGTCCCGATGCATGGCTAAAAATATACATGCCCATTTGGACTTTTTGTGGGTTCAGTGTGAGGTAAATTGTTCTGCTGCCTGTTCTGAAAATCAGAGTCTTGTTAGAGAAATCCATTTTTCCCAGCAGCTCTCCAGATATTCTGTCATTAGTACGGAAATAGATGTTGGCTACTATTTTGTCCCTAGAATTTTGTGATTTGGGTGCAGCACAGAAATTGCTTTGTATAGCAAAAGGATTATAGTTGTGGGAGAGAGACCATTCCTCCAGGCCCTGCTCATCTACCAGTGAGTAAGCCATGATTCTGGGGCTTAGCGGTCGGAGAGTCCAAGAAAAGTTGAGTGTCCTATCAGGGAGGCTGAGCAATGTGGAAGTGGTACTAAATACATGGAGGAGAGCAGGCTCCACATATAAGTCCAAACTACGTGTGAGCTGAGGCCCATTCTCAATCTGAAGGGAAGCAGTGTAGAATCCACGGCGGGGATAACACACAGTTACGTGATAATTATAATACGAAGCACACACATGGTGTAGTTCTGAACTGAGAAAAACAGTGGGTGCAAATGGCTCACTGTGCTGGTTGCTGGGGATGAGGAATTCTGCAGGACTACCTCCTTGGCTCTTAAAATGGTAGCTCCAGGTGGAACTCTTAAGGCGGGCACACCAGCCCAGCTGCACAGGTTCCCACTCACGAATTGGAAGGTTCTGTGGTGAGAGAAGAAAGAGACGGACATCTTGTCTGGCAACTTCAATGCTTAGATTATTGTGAGAACAAGAGGGCACAACACACAAGGCTGATACACACTGCATTATGACACGAGTAAAGGCCCAAGGTGGACGGGCATCTCCTCTGTCCTCATCTGTACTCAACACCAGTTGACCTGACCAATGACTTGTATTCTGTACCAAGATGGAGTCTTGAAACCACTGACAATATGGAGGAGCTTGCATTCCATGGTCTTCACCTTTGATTTCTGAAGCCAGTCTTTGATTTCTTGAATACTTCAAGTCAAGTTTTCCATCCCAGAAGCATGAGATACGAAGTTCATTGTCATGCCTCTGGTAGACATGGTGTTGTGCATTTGAGCAAGTGACCAACAGTGGTGGTGGAAGGTAATGAAGCTGTAAAGCTGTTGTGTACTGAGAATAGTATCCCAAGAGAAAGAAGAACAGCACAAAGCAATGCATTTTTTTGTGTGGTGGTTCAGGAAAAGCAGGTGCCTACTAGCATCCTCAACTGTTCTAGACATGCTTACTGGATTAATTCTAGAATCTTCTACCTGTTGCCCCCAGCAACTGGTATTCCCATGTCAGTAACATTTATTATGCTCTTCAACCATGTTGTAGTCATGACACCTTTTTGCTATCTGTAGAAATCTCTTCTAGATCCCTTTAAACAGAAATCCATTCTGTTTACTCTCCTAAAATTGATACATGATGCTTAATATTCACATTTATGATTAATATTTAACTGCAGCTACAACTGCAGTTGTAAGTAGTTTACCCTATAAAGTTTATGTAATAAACAAGAGGCTGCTTGTCTCAACAATCCATATCTTGTTTCTTGAGATCCATTTCTTGTTTCTGCATAAGGGGAATTGGATAGTTCACTTTTTAAATTTTATGCTGTCACATTTTTCACAAAGCACCAGGTCTGAAAAGCAGAATCGTCATGCTTATAGGCTCAACTCATAAGGACAAACCCAGACTTTTCTGGTTTCTTGCTTTCATGTAGTAACTACATGCCAGCAGAAATATCTCCTCTTCAGTCCTAATGTTGTACTTGTGAAAAAAGTAGTGATGAAGGGCCCAGGCAGGCACCCTCCCCCCCGAAAGCCTGTTCACACTGCCAACTTCACCGCTACCTTAGGGCCACCGAACAGAATGCTGAAACAGATATGGTTTTGGTTTGATCCAGCAGGTCTTTTCTCATGTTTTGCAAACTATTAATACTTTTGATTAAATTAATATATTTTTATTGTTTTGCCTAGTTTTGTTTCTTTCCATGCAGAATAAAAAATGAGATTAGTTCTTACTCCAGTTAATCTCCTGTTTCCTTCCATCACATCAAAGGTCTCCTCTTGTGTAGAGAAAGACTTACTCCCACATAGAAGCCATTTGCAATATCTATAATCAATGTTTGTTTCAATGTACCGTATATTTATCTTTTAAATGTAACACTATTCAAGACAGTTGATAAAATGAACAACATACATTGTATACTAATATAACAAAAACAAATGAAAATAGCCCAGAAACTTTAAAAAATTGAAGAACCTAATAGCTTCGCAGAATATTTTGTCTAGTGGCCTCAAAACACCTGGAGACACAATCATATTAGCTAATACATAATCATGTCACAGAATCATTGTAATAAACAAGGTCTTTGTGTCTATTTTAAGCACATCATAAGAAGACAATAATTCTGGGAAAGGTGGAAGGCAGAAGGAAAAGAGGGAGACTAAATATGAGATGGACTTATTCCCTAAAAGAATTTGAAGGCTTGAGTTTACAAGAGCTAAGCAGGGCAGTAGAGGACAGGATATTTTAGAGATCACTCATTCATAGGGTCAATATAAGTCAGCAGCAACTTGACAGCACATCAGAACAAAGACAGAAAGTACTCTATAACTCCAAAGGTGTGCATTCCGTTTTTTGTTTCCACTGCTCAACATAGAAAGCAGTTGTTTCACTCTTGTATAGCATCACCCCACTGAGGTCACAGAGTAGACTTAGCCTCCAGTGTCCGGCCCAGAGTTTTCTTTCTGTTCCTGTTATTCCCTTCAGCAGGAAAAGTAGAAGCCACTGTTGCAGCATCTGGTGTGAGGATTATATCCTTCTTTGTAGTGGCCTCTGTGAATGCACACAAATGGGTTTCTTCTGTGCCTGCGCAGGACGTCTCGGAAATTTTTAGAGCTTAAAAAAAGAGTAACAATCAAGATTACCCCCAGGGCGCAAGCTCCACCTCCTCAACCTTCCTTTCAGTTCCTTTTTTTCCCGTTGTTAGGCTAGGACGTCAAGAACAGTAGAGCTCCTATAAGGAAAGTAGTCATAGTACCGGTAAGGGTGGTACTGGTCGAAATAGTGATGACCGTAGTACAGGGGACGTTCGGCATGACAACATTGGTCTCCATGTCGATGCGGTTGATATGGAGATCAATGATCAAGAGTATTGCTTACCCTTTCGTTCCCCCCCCAGTATCAACCATTTCGCACATATAAGCAACAGCCGCAAGAAAGACCTTATCGACCAATGCATACTGCCTCATCACAGTTCAGACAGCAGCAACCCCAGAACACCAATGCATATCATCACAGTTCAGACAGCAGCAACCCCAGAACATCAGACAGCCCTTTCATAAACAGCAGCGAAAGGGTAAGCAATACTCTTGATCATTATGATTCTGCTAACCCTACAAGACTTTTCCCATTCCTTTCTGAATGGTGACAGATAACAACTAATAAGTGGGTCCTATCTATTATGAGAGGGGCTATCTTATTGAATTCTTTCGGACCCCACCATGTAATCCCATCAGAAGAACAATGTTTTCGCCAACACTACAAGAGGAAATATCATCCCTTCTTCTGAAGTGTACTATAGTCAGTGTACCACCATCTGACATAATGAGGGGTTCTACTCTCATTATTTCACAGTCCCTAAAAAGGATGGAGGTTTTCGACCCATTCTGGACCTGAGACAAACACATTTATACATCCTAGAAAATTCTATATGCTAACCCTTGATACCATTATCCCTCTTCTATCACAGGGAAATTGGTTCGTGACCGTTGACTTGAAAGACGCTTACTTCCATATAATGATACACCTCAGTCATCGAAAGTTCCACAGGTTTCGATTCTAGAACACGACATACCAATTCTGTGCCCTACCATTCAGACTGTCAACGGCCCCTGGGCCATTTACGAAGTGCATGGCCCCCATAGTGGCGTACCTCCGACTCAAGGGGATTACAGTCTTCCCCTACATCGACTAGCTTATAGTAGCTCGATCCCATCACAACACCGTTGAAGCCACAAAAATCACCATGAACACTTTGCAAAGATTGGGCCTAAGAATAAACCTCGAAAAGTTGCATCTGTAACCATCACAGGTGATCAACTACATTGGAGCGGAACTGAATTCAGTGTATACAGGGGCATTCCTGCCGCTTCAAAGAATCACAAAGATACAAAATAACGTGCGTCTATTTCATCCATACAGAACCATATTGGCTCACAAGGCACAACATCTACTAGGTCTCATGGCAGCTACGACTGCGGTTATCATCCATGCGAGACTCAAAATGAGACCACTTCAGGCGTGGTTCCTATTCCTGTTTGACACATTGACAGATCATCAGTCAAAATGCCTACTGGTAATCCCAGAACTGGTATACCAACTTACCATGTGGACATACATCCAAACGCAGCTGTTGAAAGGCAGGCCCTTCCAACAGCTGCATTTCTTTATACAATTGACCACCGACGTGAGTCCTTTGGGATGGGGAGCACATTGCCAGGAATACATGGCCTGTGGACAAAAAGAGAAAGGAGGTTCCATATAAATCAGCTAGAGATGTTGGCCATATGAAGGCATTTCAAGCCTTTCTACCTCGTATCGAAGGAAAAGTGGTCCAGCTGGTGACAGACAACACCACAGCAATGCATCATGTAAACAAACAGGGAGGCACACACTCTATACCCCTCCTACAACTCACAATAGACTTTTGGGAGTGGTGCCGTCTCTACCACATTTTCCCA